TTGAGAGCTTAGACTGCCCTGGTTTGTCCAAAAGGAAGTTCAAAAAACAGTTGTAAAGATGCTTCATGAGGTTAGGAAAGCCACACAAAAACAAAATGAGAATTTCAACAAAGGAATAGAAAATATAAAAAGGTACCATACAGAAATCACAAAGCTGAAGAATACAATAACTGAACTTCAAAGTTCAGTATAGGGTTTAACATCAGACTAGATTAAGGGGAAGAAAAGAGCAGCTAACTTGAAGTCAGAACAGTGGAATTCAATCAGAAAAACAAAAAGAAAACAGAATGAAAAAGACTGAAGATAGTTAAGGGACTTATGATACATGGTCAAATTGATTAATATACACATTATAGAGGTTCCAGAAGGAAAAGAAAAAGATAAAGGGGCAGAAAGCCTGTTCAAAGAAATTATAGTTGAAAATTTTCCTAAGCCAGGGAGAAAAACATGCGTCCAGATCCAACAAGACCAAAAAATACCAAAAAGCTGAATCTAAAGAGACACACACTGAGATGCATTATAATTAAATAAAATAAAAACAAAGAGAGAATCTTAAAATGAGCAAGAGTAAAGCAACTTGTTATGTACAAGGAACCACCACAAGACTGTAAGTGTATTTTTCAGCAAAATCTTACAAGCAAGAAGAAAGTGAGATGATATATGCAAAGGGCTGATAGAGGAAAAACTGCCAACCAAGAATGCTTTACCTGACAAAGATGTCATTCGGAATTGGAGAGAGAGTTTTCCAGACTAACAAAATCTGAGAGTTGATCACCATGAGTGGCCTTACAAGAAATGTTAACATTTCAAGCTGAAATTAAAGGACACAAATTACTAACATGAAAGTGTAAAATCCACTGGTTAAGGTACATATACAGACAAATTCAAAATACTCCAATATACAGAACACCCTGTAGTAATGGTGGTGGGTAAATCACTTCTAATTCTAATATAAAGGTCAAAAGACAAAAGCATTAAAAAGAATTATAACTACAATAGTTTATAAATGGACACACAATATAAAAATATGTAAATTGTAATACCAAAAACGTAAAATGTAGGATGGAATGTTTTAAATTTCAGATAATTTGTATGTGTTCAAAGTTTAGTTGTTACAAGCTTAAGTTAAACTGTTATAACTATAATATGCTTTAGGTAAGTCTCACGGTAACCACAAAGCAAAAACCTAGACTAGAAACAGAAAAGATGAAGTGAAAGGGATCAAAATATCACTATATCAAATCATCAAATCACAAAAGAGGAGAACAAGAGAGAAAGAAAGGAACAAAAGACCTATGAATCAGCTGGAAAAAAATTAAAATGCTAATAGCAAGTCCATCCTACCAATAACATTATATGTAAATGGATCACATCCTCCAATTAAAAGACAGAGTTCCTAATAGGTCAAATAAAGACCCAACTATATGCTGCATACAAAAGACTCCATCAGATTTAAGGGCACACATAGACTGAAAGTGAAGGAGAGGATAAAAGATAGTCCATGCAAATAGAAACAAGGAAAGAAGGAGAATCTATACTTGTATTAGACAAAATTGGCTTTAAGCCAGAACTAACAAGACACAAAGGTCATATAACAATAAAGGGGTCAATTCATCAATAGAATATAACATTTGCAGATATATACCTGATATCAGAGCATCTAAATATATAAAGCAAATATTAACAGATCTGAAATCAGAAAGACAGCAATACAATAGTAGTAGGAAACTCCAATACCCAATTTTCAACAAAGGATAGATAACCTTGTAACGCCAGATGCCCCTGGTGAATGGTTTAGGAAATATTTAAACGAATGTTTAGTGTCAGAATGAGGACTAGAACTCAGTTCCCAAAATTTGCAGACTAACATTTTTCTCAAATGCAATGATCCCAGTTAAGATCCATGAACTTGGAGACATTATTTTACTTTTTTTCTTTATATTTTTTATATTTGTTCAACTTTCATTGAGCATGCCCAAATGCACCACCTGTCTACTTTGACTATCAAAAATACATACTTTAATCAATTTCTTAACAACCTGAATTTTAAACAATGTTAAGAGGGAATCTCTTTCGACTTGACATTCCTTCTGCTCACTGTACCATAGCGTCTCAATGATTTAGATAACCAGTGAGCCTGAAATGCAAACCAGCACACATGTCTTCTGAATTAGATAAATCTGGAAGGATGAGTGTTTAAGTACCTATATCAATAGTCATCAGATTATCTGAAGGTCTATAATTCATTAATTTCCTTCTTGCCCCCCCCCCTTTTTCCCTCAGAGGATGTATGGACTGTAAGTGGAAATTAAAGGCAAAACCAAGTTGAAAGATGATCTTTGCATAGGAGGTCACCAACCATTGTGACATGAGGCTTTGGTGAACAACCCATTTCAACAAAATAATAGGAAGCCTCTCCCGGGTCCTCCCACCGCCATAGGGGAAATTGTTTACTTAGTTACCTAAGCCCCCCCACCCCCACCCCCACCCCATGCAGAATTACAATCTTAATACAACGCCACCCAGAACTTTCAGTTTCACAATATTCTCTGGGTAAAAACTGAAATCTAAATAACCACCAAAATGACTGTTCCCAACAAAACTGTCTCTAGATCCTATCATTTTTCCTATAGAAAATTATTTTAAAATATACAAAATGAAATGCATTGCCTGTACTCAAACAGACAGCGCTAAAATGAACTTAGCCAGCCAGCATTCATTTGGATCACAACTGGGAGGAGTTTACAATCAGATGTGGCAATATTTTGTTCTTTACCGGCAGCGTAGCAGCAGGACGGACCCAGAGAAATGTGGGTTACTGTTCATCAGACTTGACATCAGATGACTTTGCTGAAGGCTGCAGCTTTGCCTACGCGTCTTGCAGCTGTGGGATTATGCTGTGAAAGAAAGCATCTATTGTAGCCACTGTGGGAAGGAAATAAAAATGTCATCATTAGCAGCTAATGCAATATTTAAATCACTGTGGCTTTTAGAAAACTGAAATTATTTGCTGGACTGTGGGTCTGCTCAATATTCTCGTAGAAACAAACAAATGTGTAACTGACATTTTGCTAGCTAGAGATTGATGGGCAGTGTTTGCCCCCATTTCAAAAACATAGATTTGCTTTCTGGTGCCTGGTTTCTTTCCCCGTGAAATGAGAATGTTACTGATGAGCTGTCAAATTAGCTGGCACATAATAGGCATGAAGTAAATATTTGTTGAATGAATGAATGAAGAATAGCCATTATTTACTAAATCCAAACCAGCTATGTTAGCATTCTCATTCTCATTGTACATGTGGGGAAGTTACCACAGTGGGATTTAGAGTTTGGGCTGTGTTCTACAGTATTATTACCGCCCCCCCCCCTTCTCCTAGGGACACTATGGTAAATACCAAAATTAAAAACACACATATTTGTAGAAGAATACACAAGAGCATGGAATTAAAAAGGCAAACTCAAGAGTCACCTTGGCTCCAATACGTATTTGCTGGGTGAGCTTGAATAGTTTTGCTGTAACCCACTGGGCCTCAGTTTTCCTTATTTATAAAATATGACTCATAATAAGATCTACCTCATAACCTTGTTATGAGAGCTAAACTAGATAATCCAGGTGATGTGTCTAGTAAAGTGCCTGATACATAACAAGCCCAGCATTAATATTAGCTATTAGATCACACTCCTGGGGCTTTCCATAGCAACTTTGCTGAGTTGCCAATAGACTGGTTTGTTTCATTTTGGGTAGCCAACAGCAAGGCAACCTCCTTTGTTATTTAAAAAAAAAACACAGACATTTCCAAAAACATGGCTGAGATGCAGTCAGTTGGCGAGGCAACCCCAGGTCTTCCTCTCCTCCCCGATTCCTGCTCCGACTCCTTGTGTACCTGCAAGGTCACTGCTGCATATGTTACTTCCACCAAAAAAAAAAAAAAAAAAAAAGACAAAACACTTTCTCTTAGTTCCCACAACAATTGAGTCAAATTCATATTTTTAAAAGGAACTTTACTAAATCTAAGAGAAAACAAAAAATAGTTCAAATACAGATGTACAAGCGTGTGTGTGTGTGTGTGTGTGTTTTGTTAACTTTTCTCTGAGCTAATATCTTTGGGTTTATTAACTCATTTCCCTAATATGCTCTGTGCCCTCTTCTTGCAATTTTTATTTGTTTTACACTTTGCATTGTGTATGTATTTTTGTAAGGCATTTTAAATACTTATTAGGGACAAAAGGGACCAGGTATAAAACAAGATAGATGATAGATAGATAGATAGATAGATAGATAGATAGATAGATAGATAGAAAGAACTTTTCAGCATTATTGAAACTCAGTTAACTACCTCTGGACCAAAAAGAGGACACCTTCCCCCTCCCAGCATCCTTACTCCACTGGCTGGACACAATCTTTCTTCCTATCATACAGGAGGCCATGAATGGCCTATCTTGCTCTCTTCTCTTCACTACCATTTCCCAGGACTATAAAGATTGTAGAGACTGATGTAATCAAAGCTTTTACCCTTCCTGGCTCGAATTAGCAGCTCTGTCTGCTTTTAGAGCACTTTGTAATTAAACTGAACCACAAAAAGGTATAACCCATCACAGACTCATAGTACCATGATATCTTGATATTATCGTCACATAAGACATTTCTGCTCATCAATCCCAGAGGGCAGTTATGTCTTCAGCAAGAGACTTGTTGATGATACCGTATTCATCTCTTATATCCACCAGCTATGCATCATAAAAGGCACCCAAAGGCATTTAAGAAGTACTTGTTAAATTGAGTTGAACTGAACTGAAAACACGTATGCCCTTTTCTCATGTATTAGATTTTGAGTGACAGAATTTAGCAGCTAAATCGACATAATTGGATCTTGCACCTGTTCCAGTCATTGCTTTATTAGAAATCTAGTTATCGAGAGAGAGATTATGAATTTATTTAGCATTGAAGAGCTGAGATGTATGATGATGAATTAAACAAATTGCCATATTGATTTTTATAGGGATTCAAGGATATTTCTCTTGAGAGATTTATACATGGTGGAGCCAATGTTACAGGATTCCAGTTGGTGGATTTTAATACGCCGATGGTAACCAAACTAATGGATCGCTGGAAGAAACTAGACCAGAGAGAGTATCCAGGCTCTGAGACTCCTCCAAAGGTATTTGTTTGTTTGTATCTTATGTATGTTTAGTATTTTTCAAATGTAACACAGAAAGTTCATGATGCAGTTTTTCTGGTGCTGTGTCATCAGACGTAGTGTGATGGGCAGAAGCATTTACTCACTCTCACTGTACTGCACAAGCCCTTAATAATTTCTAAATATCTATATTTAAGAGTAGAAGTGGTAGGTATTAGCTCAAGCAGTTTCCTGTTATTATTATTATTACTTTATAAATTTCCATTGAAGATAAGGAATGCTTTTTTATTTTAATCCTCACCCAAGGATATGCTTTCCATTGATTCTAGAAAAGGAGGAAGGGAGCGAGGGACAGAGAAAGAGAAACATTGATGTGAGAGAGAAACATCAGTTGGTTGCCTCACACACATGTCCTGACCAGGGATCAAACTGCAACCTGGGTATGTGCCCTGACTGGGAATTGAACCCACAAGCCATCAGTGCACCGGATGATGCTCTAATCACTGAGTACACCAGCCAGGGGAATTGTATGCTCCAAACAAATTTGTTAACTAAATATTTCAAATTTGAACAACATTGGTAACTACCCACCCAGGAAAAAAAATCTATGTTTTCAAAGTGATTTAAATTAGTATATAAATTAGGAAGTTGGTAGGATGTAAAATATGCAAGCTTCTAAAATTATTTTCTTTCAAATAAATAGTAAAAGGCCTTGGTTGTTTAATTTTTCCCTATAGATGTTGCAGAAGTGTTATTCGTATCTGCAAAGGAAGCTGGTAAATTTCTGATTATAGCACATTTTTTCCAAAAGAGAACAGAGAATTTATATATAATTTTAGAGAGAAAAGGAGAAGGAGAGAGAGATAGAAACATCAATGATGGGAGAGAATCATTGGTTGTCTGCCTCCTGTATGTTCCCTACTGGGGACTGAGCCCACAACCCGGGCATATGCCCTTGACTAGAATGGAACCCGGGACCCTTCAGTCTTTAGGCAGCCAATCAATGATTCTCTCTCATCATTGATGTTTCTATCTCTCTCTCCCTTCCTCTCTGAAATCAATAAAAAAAATATATTTTAAAAAAGAAACCTTGCGAATCCTTTTATTATTTCTATTGCCTTTAGTAGGTTGAGAGATGAATCATGCCAAAAGCTCACTCGTATCAAGTATTCATACACACAGAGAAGAGTGACAAGCTTCCTTCTGAGCACATTTCTAATCTAGACTGTTTGCTAGGCAGCAGTTCCCCTCATTCTGCCCTCAGTGTCTGCAGAGACACTCTTCCTCATGAGACAACCTTATCTCTTCCTTCCTCACACCTTGTGTTGTGAGACCATTAATTGCGTTCGCATTTCTTCTGCAAACCATCTGTTCAAGTTTTTGTTGCCCTTTGAGTTTGAGTAACTAGAATGAGCTTCAAGCTTCCTGTCAGCGTTTTGTAGCTTCTTGGGACTATTTTTCATTTCAGTGATAGTATTAACATGTGGTCAAAACGTCCACTGTGGTCCTCCCACCTGGACCACTGGTGTCCTTAGCCCTTCCCTGCCTTTAGCCCATCTTAATGTCTTCTATTTGCTAACCTGTAACTGGACGTTTCTATGCTACAGCTTTGGCATATAAAATGCACATAGTGTCATATGTATTTTTATATGTAAATACATATAATTTTCTCATCTTTCACAGCTCTTAGCATGATGCTAGGCACTCGGTGGCCATTTAATAAATACAGAGATAGGCAAAAATAGGCTCACAGTTATACATAGGAAAAATACAACAATTAATAAGAAGTAATAATACAATAATAAAGTGTTGCATAGACTAACAATTGTAAACCTACTTTTTCCAACCCCCATATATACAGGTGATTCTCATTATTCACAGTAGTTACATTCTGTAAAGTTGCTGTGAACACTGAATGTGAACACTGGACACTAGCTCCCAGGGAAAATACAAGATTAGGTTCCTGCAAGCCTCTGGTCACAAATTTTTGTCCACTGATCAACACATAGCACACATGTTTCTGTTTACAGACAGTTTATACAATACACTAGAGCAGTGATGGCGAACCGATGACATGCGTGTCAGAGGTGACATGCAAACTCGTTTTTTGGTTGATTTTTCTTTGTTAAATGGCATTTAAATATATAATATAAATATCAAAAATATAAATCTTTGTTTTACTATGGTTGCAAATATCAAAAAATTTCTATATGTGACACGGCACCAGAGTTAAGTTAGGGTTTTTCAAAATGCTGACACGCCGAGCTCAAAAGGTTCCCCATCACTGCACTAGAGGCCCGGAGAACAGATTCGTGCACCTGTGAACCCTCAGCCTGGGCTGTGGGATCGGGCCGAAACTGGCTCTTCAACATACCCTGAGAGGTCCGGATTGCAAGAGGGCGCAGGCCAGGCCAAGGGACCCCAGTGGTGCACAATCGGGGCCAGGGAGGGACCACAGGAGGGCTCCAGGGAGTGTCTGGCCCATCTTGCTCAGTCCCTATCCGCTGGACCCCAGCAGCAACCTAACCTACCGGTCAGAGGGTCTTCCCCCTGGTGGTCAGTGCACATCATAGTGACTGGTCGAATGAATGGTTGGACACTTAGCATATTAGGCTTTTATTAAATAGGACTAGAGGCCCGATGCATGAAGATTAGTGCAAGAATAGGCCTTCCTTCCCCTGGCTGCCAGCACTGGTTTCGCTCTGGCACCAGGGACCCAGGCCTTCGCTCTGGCTGCCACCTTCCACCTTCGCTCCAGCCCTGCCATCCTCCTGTAGCTCCCTCCACCCACCCCCCATACCCCCAGCTTAGCAGGTGTCCCACTCCACCCTGGCAGCTCCACACCTGCACGCATGCGCGCACTGCCCAGAGGCCTGGAGCGGCCGGGGCAGGGCGGAATGCCTGTGTCATCACCATGGTGATGATGCAAGTATCCCGGCCCAGCTGCTGCCATCTTTGCAGCATCAATTTGCATATTCCCTCCTTACTGGCTGTGGGCACTGCCATCTTTGTCGTGAAGTGATGGTCAATTTGCATATTCTGCCTTTATTAGATAGGATTGTTGATTCATGAACAGTGAAGTCATGGCCAACAGCACTATGACTCATGCCTGAACAAAGCTTACCTCATGTATTTTCTCCATAAAGCACACCACAGCCTTCTTGCACTGAGGAACAATAAGCAGATCTACACTTTTGAGCCCTTTTAAAGAGTGAAATTATCAGCAAAAAGCACAAAACCATGAGAAGCCTGGCACTAAACAGATCACATGGGGACACTTGTCTACAGCCTGAGACCTGAAACAGGAAGGCAGAGCACGGCCTTGTGGCTGCAGCTGGGAACCTGTGCCTTGGGGAACTGAGCTTAGCACCACACCCCACACATATGCAAATAACTGCCCTGATGATTGATTTGGGGATCACAAATTTGACCAAGAAGGCAAATTTTCAAATATGGAATCCATGAATAATGAAGATTACATTAATTAAATTATACTTATTTTTTTTGTAGTGTTTTAACCAAGATTTAAAGCATGATTTCTGATCTTGTCTCACTCTGCCTTAAAAAAAAAATATTATGGCCCTAGCCTGTTTGGCTCAGTGGATAGAGTGTCTGCTTGCAGATTAAAGTGGTCACAGGTTTGATTCTGGTCACATGCCTGGGTTGTGGGTTCGATCCCCAGTAAGGCTGTGCAGGAGGCAGCTGATCAATGGTGTTACTCTCTCATCAATGTTTCTATCTCTCTATCCCTCTCCCTTCCTCTCTCCTGAAATTAATAAAATAAAAATATATAGTTAAAAATATTTAAAAACATTTAAAAAAATAAAAATATTCTGGAATAAAGGTTTTCCACAATACAGACCTAACAAGTCTTTCCAGTTTTGTCCCTCCGCTCCCTTTGTGGCCAGGAAAATTAAACAGTCCTAACTGTTCCCACTCCTTCTCAGTCCCCTGCTCTTGCTGCACCTCAGCTGTGCTCCACCTTCATTTCCACCGTCCCAGCCTTGAACTCAAGTTCATTTTCTCTGTAAAGACTTTTCTTAGTCCTCCAGCACATATGATCCTTTCTCCTTTGTAATGGCCATAATCTTTGAGTGTACACTTCTCACCAAGGACTTATCCTAGTTACTTGTCTACTTGTGTCACATCTATAAACACCTTTGGGCTGAAACCACCTACTATATGTCTTTGTAGTCCTCACCATTGCCAGCCAAGGTCTAGCACATTTTTCAAGAGCTCTCAGATATGATATAAAATTTTATTCTCACAATGACCACAGTTTGTTTTGGGTGTTTGTTTGTTTGTTTGTTTGTTTTGCTCTGTTTTGTGTTTCATAGCTGGAAAATGGACTCCACATTCCCATAAGATTGCACATAGCAGAACAAGAATTCATCTGGTTCTTTCTTCTCAAAGCCCAGATCCTTGCCACTGCCCTAGATTTCTGCCAAACTGTTTTGTTATCTGCAAACCTGGGTAAACAGTACTCATCACCAATCTAACCACTTTAGTAAACTGAAGTGTTTAATTAATAAGAATTTCCTGGATGCCATCTACCAGTGTGTGTGCCCATATATATGATTTTTTTAACATTAGCACAATAAGACATGTGGGAAAGATTAAATCCTTCGCAAAGGTAAAGCTGATTTAAACTGCTGCTTCTTTCCATCCATCAGCACAATGACCTGCCAAAGGCCTAATGCTATGGCTGAATGTCTGCTTTGCTCTGCTCCTCTCTGTATGACATCTGTCCTTTTTGACAGTTCACTTGTTTCATAAGAAGGGATGGGCTTTGTAAAACACAGCAAGTGTATTTGCTCTTTGGTGCCATCTCTTCTCAGCTTTTTTCGCCCTATTAAAAAAAAGCAACAATTCTTTCTCTTTCTCTCTCTCTCTCTCTCTCTCTCTCTCTCTCTCTCTCTCTCTCTCTCTCTCTCTCTTTCTCTCTCCCTAAAATACTAACATTAAATTATTCCTTGTCTTTTGTTTTTAAAAGTCCTACTTTATTTTTTGTTTTTATTTTCTTGCCTTACCAAAAGATGATTTGTTCCAGATTTCTGTACTCAAAGAGATGTTGGCCTAGGCAGGAGGAGAGAGAGAGAGAGAGAGAGAGAGAGAGAGAGAGAGAGAGAGAGAGAGAGAGAGAGATGAGAGATTTCTTGTTCGAGGTAAGAAGGTATATACTCATCTTTGATTTGTCACCTTGCTTTAACACTTTAATTTCCTTCAGCCACTCCAACCTGTTGTGAGTACCTATGCTGTCCCTAAGCCTATTTTGTCACATTCTTGAAGAATATGTAGCAAGGCTCTTAATTTACAAGCCTCACACATATCTTTCTTTCTTTTTTTTTTTTTTTTGAGTTTATAACCTTTAATTGTTGAGATATAAAACACAACCATAAAATATTTTAAGTATGTGCTATTAAATGAAAGTGAACGCCTGAGTGTGTGTGTATGACTCAGTTTCTTCGTCAGGAAAAGAAACCTGTTACGGCGGTTGTGCGAGTTAAAGGGATGCTACGTGTTAAGCACTTACAAGTGCTTGACAAAGGCTTTAAAAAGCATGTTTCCTTTTACTACTCAAGAAGTTTATGATGATTAAATCAGAGGCAAGGCACAAGCCAGGTGAGCCTGACTCCACACGCGGCCTCTCCCGCAGCACTCACAGCCTCAGACAGGACGGCGCTCCTGCACAGAGGCCCAGCCCAGAGGCAGGATCTTGGCCGGTGCACCGAGTATGCAGCACGCGATCCTTACAAAGAGCCCGCAGGTGACAGAGAGGTGGGGGGACTCCCGCTGAGGGTGAAGGCAGAGCCGAGCCTGACCCCACTGGACACCTGAGGCCAGGTGGGTAAGAGCAGGTCTGCCTCCCTCGTGGCACTGCCCTGCCCACACGGCCCCAGGTCCCCGCCCACTCTGCCCAATGAGATAGGGCGTCTGGTCCACCCTCTCGCTCTGAGGCTTGATCATCCAGACCACCCCCTGCAGGTGACCCCTAAGGCCTGCAGGAACAAGCCTCACACATATCTTTCTGATGAAGCTTTTTAATGAGGTTCTGTACCACCATTGAGAGATTCTTTGTTAATTTATATCCTTTAACATTTCTATGTTTTTCCTGGAATGCTGGCTGCTATGCCTAGTAGGCATATTGCATAAGTCTACTTTCTACAGTTAGAATTTCAAATGATTTTTCTTTGTTTATAAGCAGCAAATCAGGGAGATCATTTTCCGTGTTCCACAGCACAAAACTACACCTAGTTTAAGGTTAGAATGTGTTAATCATATGGAATTGAGGCCCTGGCTGTGTAGCTCAATTGGTTGGAGTGCTGCTCATGCACCAAGGTTGTAGGTTTGGTCCCCAGTCAGCAAGGCACATATAAGACTCAACTAGTAAATGCATAAATAAGTTGAACAACAAATTGATGTTTGTCTCTTTCTCTCTCTCTCTCTCTCTCTCTCTCTCTCTCTCTCTCTCTCTTTAAAAATCAATAAAAAATTTGAACATATAGAATTAGCCACATGGAATTCCTGAAAGAGATAATGTAGCTTTTTGTCATGATTGGCAGCTGATGCTCTGCCATGCTTCAAAAAAATAGTGCCATATTCCTCATAGTTGGGAATTTTCCTATAAAACTCTATAAGAATTCCCTGTTTTATTTTGATTTTTACCTGTTTTTACTCACTTTCTCCCCTAACTTAATAACCCTTCTATGAGGGCTCTGTCTTTTCTCAAAGAGAAGCATTGGGCGATTATCAAAAAACAGATAGTCTCTACTTCACTTCTCCACTGTGATCCAAGGTTATGATGGAAAACTGAGAAATGGTTTAGCCTTCCTGAGCACACTCAACAGACATGGACATAATAATACTCACTGTTACTTAGCACAGTGACTGGTGCAAACACATCTGTTAAATAAGTAGATGCTATTTCTGGCATCCAATATCCGAGTAACAATAAACATTCATTCTTCTGAGGAACTGAACAAAGATACACACTTCAGATCAATAGACATATATTAAATATCAAAGCTCCCAGCCAGGCATTTTGTAAATGAGTGAGATACCCAGCCCTCCTGAGTCTCCACCACAGCAGCAGGCTACAAGGCAGGTGGCGGCAACACTGCTCTTAGATTACTTTAGTGTTTCTGCTAAGACTTAATGAAAAGATCTCACCTAAAGGTTTTGCTTCTTCCTTCTTCCCATTGTTAGACAACTGGACATTAGAATTTCTGCTCTTCAGTCTGTGTTTTCTCCTTTTTCAATTAGAGTCATAAGATTCGGTATATGGTCTTTGTAATCCAGCAATAATAAAAAATCTCGATGCTGGAAGCAATTATCAATAATTTAACTGTGCTTCAGACAGGATGAGGTTTTATGTCATAAACCCACAGTGCTGCCAGACTATTCCTGTTGGTTGATAAGATTTTAACATTTACCCTTATAATTACTTTCATTTTATTAGTACACATCCGCTCTGACTTATGATGGAGTCCTGGTGATGGCCGAAACTTTCCGAAGTCTTAGAAGGCAGAAAATTGATATTTCAAGGAGAGGAAATGCTGGGGACTGTCTGGCAAATCCTGCTGCTCCATGGGGCCAGGGAATTGACATGGAGAGGACACTCAAACAGGTAACTCGCAATTTTATTTAAGTTCAATTTATTTAACACTGCTGTTCAAGTAGAATATTCACATAAACAGAATAATGTATTTGAAAGTAAATATATGTAAAAGTCATTTTAATATATTGGACTATTATCATTTTTGAGACATTTCTAAATAGAATACTGTGTTTATATCCTGTGTAGATGTTTAGTCAGGATAAGCTAGGTTATGCTGTACTAACAAACAATCCCAAGTTCCAGTGGTTCACAACCATAGAAGAGTGTTTCTCACTCACAAACACACTAAGGTAGCAGAGATACTCTGTTTATTGTAACCACCCAGCAACCCAGGCTGACAGACAACTACCATCTTGAATGTTACGAAGAGAAATAAAGTTGAGGCAAGGTTTCAATTTGACAATTAAACTCTGGCCCAGTAGTGACCCTCATCACATTTGTTTACAACTCATTTGTCAGAAGAGAGTCACATAGGCCTCACTCACCACCAGGGATTCAGGAAGTATGAGCTTACCTTGAGCCAAGAATGAGGAAGACCCAGAAATATTTGGAAAACACTAATGACAACCTCAGTAGATCTTGAAATTGCCTTGTAACCTTGGATTAAACTATTGATTTTAGTCTTTTATAGTTATACTAACACTATTTTTCAAATGTTTAATGTACTATGTTTATATTTTTAATATTGCATTTTAAGTGTTCTGAAATGCCATGCGTTCAGAACATGTTACATAAAAAATGAATAGGGCCCTAACCGGTTTGGCTCAGTGGATAGAGCGTCGGCCTGCGGACTGAAAGGTCCCAGGTTCGATTCCGGTCAAGGGCATGTACCTTGGTTGCGGGCACATCCCCAGTAGGGAGTGTACAGGAGGCAGCTGGTCGATGTTTCTCTCTCATCGATGTTTCTAGCTCTCTATCCCTCTCCCTTCCTCTCTGTAAAAAAATAAATAAATAAATAGGAAAGAAATTTGGAATAAAACGCAAGTGAATATTTTCAAAATATATGTATATTTTTAATTTTTTCCATCTTAATTTTAATGTTAGCAAGGAGAAATATGATCCAGTGTGGTTATCAGGGCTGTTTATTATGTGCATATATAGAAAAAAACTGAAAAATAAATATAAACAAACCATATTTCTGTTCCTATAAACAATACTTCAATTCTAAGGAGTATTCTGTCATTTACAATGGGAACTTCATAATATAAAAAACAAATTACACATATTCATCTTCCAGCTATACAGTAGAATTGTTTATTTGTTCCTTTGGTATTTCTCTTTCAGATTCTATCCCATGGTGTGCTAATGAGTTCCTTGTGTCGTCCCACACCTATATCTGCTCTAAGCCTAACAGATGAAGTTGAGATTTCTATAGGTGAAATGGCAAATAACCACATGTTTGGGTTTGTTTTTGTTGTTTTATTTTTCATTTATAGGTTCGAATTCAAGGGCTGACAGGGAATGTGCAGTTTGACCACTACGGACGCAGGGTCAATTACACAATGGATGTGTTTGAGTTAAAGAGCACGGGGCCGAGAAAGGTGAGCCACGCTCAAACTGTTGTCTGACTTTGCACTTGATATTTTCAAAGGCTTATAGGTGAAAGGGAACTGGATATTCTGCATTTTTAAATATGTGTACTTACAAATAGCACTGTCTTGATAATCTGTGCTGAAATATAACTGCTATTTAGTCATGTGCCAAAGCTGAAACAAACTAATCTATACACCTTTATATCCTTTATCCAAAATGGAAGCAAAGCAATACATTGTTTAAAGCTTAGCAAAAAGAATCCCACACAACCAAATTCATGCTGCTGAAAAGCACACAATGCAAGTAAGATACCCGCATGTAATCATTTATAGAGACAACGAAGAAACTGTTTCCAATGGGTGGGCACATTATGAATAGGCTGATGTTCTTGAAGTTAACACATTCAAGTGAGCAAAGGAGAGAGCAGATGGAAGATAAGATAGATAAGATTAGTGTCAGGCTGAGGAGGGAGAGAAATACCTAAGAAACGCCCACTGAGGGGCCAGGGAGGTAGTTCAGGAAGCTGTGGGTGGCAGACCCTGAGATTTCAGAAGGTAACTCTGGGGGTGTAATGTGACGGGGCATGTGGGCAGTCTCCCCAGCATCCGGAAAATATACAGTGAAGCAATACTGTCCCACCACAGTAATTGGCTACGTACATTTTATTCACTTACAATTAAATGATTTTTAACATTTTGTTTCTCTAGGATCAGCTAGGGTGCTCAAAGAAAGAGAACATTCCAGTTATTTATCTAAAAACTTCATTTGTTCCTTCGCTTGGCTGTTTAAGAAACAACCTTTCCCAAATATGCTCTCCTGCTTTACTAGAATAATTATAGCTACACGTTATGAAAAGCCTGCTGTGTTCCAAGCACGGGACATGGTGCAGCTTAATCCTAACAGCAAACTAAACATTAGTACTATCTCCCTTTTTCCAATGAGAAAATCTTTGGTCCAATAGGGCTTGGTTTCTTGTGCAAGGCCTGTTATTAAGAAAACAAAGACTTTAATTCAGATATGTCTGACTCCAGAAATGTTCTATACCATTAGCTCACCTGCGTAGGCCCTGCTGTAAGGGAATTTATTCTCTAGAAGGATAGAATACAATAAGTTCCATATGACAGTTAAAGAGTAGGCATGTGGCAGTTCCAAGGAGGAAAAGATCACTTCCAGCTGGAGAAAAGCAAGTCAAGCAAGGAAGGCTGCGTGGAGGAGGTGGGGTGAAGCAGAGTCATGAAGTGGAAGAGGCAAGAACCTGCAGACAAATGACAGGAAGGACAATTAACAACTGGAAATGGCAAAGGTTTTCTGAGTTGTGTTTTGCTGCAGTTCTTCATAGCGTGTGCTTCTGCATACTTGTGAGGAGAGATTTGGAGCTGCGTGAGAACCATCGAACCATCGCCATCTAGCGTTTCAGCCTCTGTGGCGTCTCCTGCAGCGCAGGCTGACAGCTAATCCAGAGCAGGCCGGCGCCTACCTGCTCCAGGCCAGGCGGGCAGGAGATGGACAACAGCTGGGAAGCCAGCGCATGGCAGGCTCCTCTAAGGACCTGCCACAGCAAGGGACGGAGATGCATTCTTAATGAGACATTTAGGGGCTCCATGTGAACCCCGACTTGACCTTTGTCAACAGACAGCCAACAACCAGCGAGAAAGAGGCCCATGGTAAGCAAAGGCCCTTGGCGAGCCGGGGAGCAGACAGCACCCTCTTCGGGCCCCTAGAAACATCGGCTCACAGGGGACAGACACAGGCACAGGCACACCTCCCTGCCACCACCGGGTCTTACAAATGAGCCCAGAGCAGGAGCTTTCTAACATGCAAAAGACAGCTCCGCCTTCCACAAGACATGAAGTGCAAAAGTGAAATGATCTCTCCATGAAAGAAAGAACAATGGGGGAAAAGAAGTTGACAGTAACCAGTGGCAATATCCGGTGGACTGTGTATAGAACCGGATCTTTTCATGGCCTCGTGGGCCACAGTGGTAACAAAATGAAGTTTTTTGAGGAGAAAGCTTAAAGAGTAAGGTGGGAGAGTGAGGAACACTCAGCTGAGATTTGTCTAAGACGCTTCCATGAAATATGAAGTGTAAAATGGTGTGGCCTCGGCTATGTTTTGCTGTGGCAACGATCCACTTGGGCATTCTGCCAGGAACATTCAACTGAAAAAGTTGCTGCGTGAGGAGCCGGTGCTGCCGGGACCCAGCAGGACGTCTGGGAAGCGAGCAGTTGTCCTTGTGGATGGGACACCTACCGCCGAAAGAGCTGCCTTGGGAAACAGATCAAGAGCTTGCCCACCCGTTTGTCTGACTTCTGCAACAGGGGAGCCACAATGCTTTTTCTGACGTCCAGGTCCTAAGTATGGTGGACTCTTCCTGTCAGCTGGTGACCCCCCCACTGCCCCAGAAAATGCTCCAGGGCCAGACTTGCATGATGTCAGGACTTCATAATCAGAGAGATTATATTTATTGAAAGACACAGTAATGGAAAATTGATGTGCATTTTTATATGTCATCCTCCCAACAACCAGAAAGTAGGATTTATTTTTCTCATTTTTTAGAGGAGAAAGGCTCAGAGAAGCTAAGTTACCTGCCCAGGATGTTCAGCTGGAAAGGGATGGAGCGGCAGTGGAGACCAAGCCTTATCCAGCCCCAGGGCTCAGCTCCTTGCTGCTGAGATCTGAGTCCCAGGGTCCATTAAGGCTCTTTAGAGCTGGAATTGACAAGTGTGAGCAAATCAGCTCTTGAAGGAGCCAATGAGGTGTGGAACAGGGGCTCCTCACAGACCCTCAGTCCCTACGCAACCCCTTTCTGGTAGGCAAAGTCCACTGTAAATACAGAGATTTTACTCTTACGTTATCTTATGACTAGAGGCCTGGTGCACAGATTCATGCACATTGAAAGGATATTAATTAGAAGGTGGCCAGCGGAGTGGGACTGGGTGAGATGGCTGGCATCCCTGGAGCCAGCCTCCCGTGTCCCTCCCTGGCCAGCCACACCTGAGGCGGTGCTGGGGCTTGAAGGGCGTCTGTGAGCGGGGTCCCTCCAGCACAGCCGTGGGCAAACTAAAGCCCACGGGCCGGATCCGGCCTGTTTGAAATGAATAAAACTAAAAAAAAAAAAAAAAAAAAAAAAAAGACCGTACCCTTTTATGTAATGATGTTTACTTTGAATTTATATTAGTTCACACAAACACTCCATCCGTGCTTTTGTTCCGGCCCTCCGGTCCAGTTTAAGAACCCATTGTGGCCCTCGAGTCAAAAAGTTTGCCCACCCCTGCTCCAGCAGGTGGGGTCTGTGGTCTTGGCCTGCGGGGATCGGCCAAAACCGGCAGTCCCACATCCCCCAAGGCTGTGGTCGGCGGCACAGAAGTCGGTATTTTGTGGAAGAGCCACACTGAAGGGGCCAAAGAGCTGCATGTGACTCGAGAGCCGCAGTTTGCTGAGGGGCAGTTTGCCGACCACTGCCCTAAGGGGTCCCAGAGTGCCAGAGGGCACTCTGCAAAGTTGCTGTCTGCCCCCTGGTGGTCAGTGTGCATCATACCTATCGGCAAACTATTTACCCTCTCTAATCCCCAGTTTTTAAAATATGTAAATGATGACAATACATACCTCCCTTAGAGCATGGTTGTGAGGATTAAAAGTAAAGCACCTAGCATAGTCAGTTGCTTAGCCTTTTACATATATAGATTAGATTTGTACACAATTCATCTTAACAAGTCCAAAAGAAACAAATATTTTTCTGACACCACTTGCCAGTTTAGTGATTTCAATGCTTCCATATTTTTGCTCTAGCATTACAAAAGTATTTTTCAGCCCATTTCTCTCTCTAGGAAAATACCTAGTTCCCTATCTGACTAAATGAGATTCGGCTTGGGAAAAGTTCCTAGCAAACTGTAAAATGTTGTGAAGAACTAGAGAGAAACTCCTCCGTGTCATATGAGGCTCCAGGTCCAAACTTCCAGACTCCTTTCTGGAGGAAGAGACCCCTGCATCACTGTCCACTCCGCATAATCTTACTTTCCAATAAGCCCATGGCCCATATGAGATCCAGCATTAATTGTTCCCACATTCGAAACTATGGCTTTTTATTTTCACCAGAATTGTAAATAGATATAAGGCGAATAGGTACAGCTGGGTAAATTTTTGCTTGTTATTTTAATTTGTCAGCACTTCTAAATCATTTATCTTTTGGAGGTATCACAGGTTGTTTTTAAATGCAAAATGTCAAGGTCTGGCCAACACGTGAGGACTCTCCAGAATGCGCCCCAGCTCCGTGGTGTTTCCGTTGTGGGAATAAAAAAAAAATGGTCTTTCCCAGGGAATAGGCTGCTGAGATCTGCAGGGTGGCTGCAGCTAATGAAGGGCTAAACTCTGAAACCTGTTTCCATGTCCTTTGTCCAGTAGAAAGGAGAATTAATAGGAAACAACTAATATGTTGTTGTTTTTAAGTACATGTAGGACTTGAGAAATGGTAGGACTCAATGGCATACTTGTTTTTAAATTAAATTGATCATTGGGTTATTAAATAAATACCAGCTACAAATGAATTCATATGAACAATTGGAAATGGTTGTTGAATTCCTACACACTCATAATTTCAGATCACACTAAGTACGGCAAGCCATATTAATGAAAATTTTTCTCCAACTATTCTGTTATTGAGTTATGTATAAACTATTTATGAATAATATTGTGCTTCTTTCTGACATGTTAATGCTTATTTTATTTTAATATGTGCACAAATGTTAGCACAGTTTAGAAACTTGAAGGAAGCAAGAGAGACTTCCTACACATATTAGAACAAGTAGTGAACAGACCAGTGAGCTATTGCATACATTTTATTGGACACATGAGTTTTAGGAACTGCATCCAGAAATTCAAGAAGAAAAGTGTGGAAAGCATTAAATAAGCACCCATTTGGGGAGGCGCTGGAGCATAATAACAAAGCACATATGGATTTGGTGTCCTACAGACCTGCGTTTTGAATTCTGGCCCTACTGGAGTATAACCTTGTGAAATGTATTTAATATTCTAATATGGGTTTTCAAATCTAAACCATAGATAGTAACAACATCTATTTCTGCATTTGCTTTGTTTATAAACTTTAAGATACATATTTACAAAAACACTGAGTACAGTCTCTGTTGCAAAGCAAGCAGTCAATAGCGGTAGCCATAACGTTCTGCATGATACAAAGGCCCCTAACCTTCCTTTAAGACCCTATTGTGGCCCACGCAGATGTGGTTCGGTTGGTTGGAGCATCGTCCCATATACAGAAAGGTCAAGGGTTCAATTCCTGGTCAGGGCACATACAAAGGTTTTGGATTTGGTGCCCTGTCTGGGTGCCTACAGGGGCAGCTAACCTTTGTTTCTCTCTCACATTGATGTTCCTCACTCTTTTCTCTATCCTTTCTCTCCTTTCTCTCTCTCTTTCTCTCACTATTCTCTCTCTCTCTCTCTCTCTCTCTCTCTCTCTCTCTCTCTCCTTTCCTCTCTCTAAAAGAAAAAAAGGCCCATTATAGTTTACTACTGTATAAAACACTTAACTGATTACTTAATTTATCATATGAAATAAGTTTGCATCAAATCTAAATTACAAATTAAGATAAAGATTTCATTTAAAAATGAAAAAGTGATTTTGAAAATGAAAATATTTTTCATTAATCTCTGATGTATTGGGCATTTTAGAGATGAAAAAACTGTTACCGAAGAACTAGGTTATGTCAAACCAAAAACTGTTTCTATGTTGCTTTAAAAAAAAACACCACAAGTTAGTTTTGCTGGAAAATATCAAATTGTTTTTGCTGGAAACTAGCCATATTTACAAATGTCCCTTTGTAAATGGCTCTTCCCTTTACCGTGAGACCTGTACCGTTATTGATAAAATCATGCAATGTTAGAGAGTACCAGTCCATCCCACTAGAAGAGAGGCTCAACATAAAATGGTGTTTCACCTATATCCATGTTCCTTTTGAACCCCTCCTTCCCAATGCCTCGGCTACTCCATAATTCTAAACTGTAAAGTTGCCCAATCCATAATCCGGCAGTATCTTTAACATCAGGAAAGCTGGCTGATCATCAATTAAAATAACTTCCAAACTCTTTTTTATCTGTGTTTTTAATTTGTTTTGTGCTCTTATTAATATCACTCATTGTTCCCATAAGAATATTCTAAAATGTGTTTTCAAGAATTTTCTCTATTTGGCAGGTTGGTTACTGGAATGACATGGATAAATTAGTCTTGATTCAAGATGTACCAACTCTTGGCAATGACACAGCAGCTATTGAGAACAGAACAGTGGTTGTAACCACTATTATGGTAAGTTTCGGTCTATGCTTTCTGCTGTTCCGTTTTGTCCACAGGCAACTTTAATTCCCAGCTGTGGTGAACAGGGAGGGTGGAAGCAGTGGTGACATGGGTGCTCCGATCCACAAAAGTCTGATGAGACTTTGAGTAGGTTTGTCCTGAGCTCTGAGTACATTCAGTACTTTTTTTTGTATTATCTTCTGTGGCATTGTTGTTCTTAGAAAAATGCTCAAATGTCAAAAGTTGAAACTGTCATGCCCTAGTTGGAAATGTGTGAAATGCTAACATTCCAAAGGACAAAAGAATGAACATGAAAAAGATCAGTTACCAATAACCTAAAATATCTGGTAGTAAACACCATATTATTATTGTTATTATATTTTTAAATATCAATGTGATAATAGTTAATGGTGTTTAAAATTATTATGTCCAGGGAGTTTAATCATTGGGCAATGATTCACATTGTCTGTTTGTATGGTGTAGAAATGAATGTGAAGATTTTAATGAGCATGTTTACAATTGAATGCTTCAGAAATAAATTTGTTTTATATTTATTTTTAATGCAAACAAATTTTTACACCGATTATTTTTCTCATTGACTAGTGACAAATAACAATATAATGTATAGGACTTCCAGGAATTAAGTAAAATATGACTGCTTCATTCATTCACCTTATAAAATACAAAAATACTCTGAATTTTAAGGCTACTTTTTCAAAGAGATTTTCATGAAGCTACCTTTTAAATAATAGAAATTCTTATATATTTTTCTCTTCTAAAGTCAAACATGCCCTTTAGAGTCAATGCTAGTCAAAGGAGATCAACAATCGGTGACCTTTTCTATCTAATTTAAATTTACACATCCTCAGCTCACTGTCTTGTTAGGCAGAGCATATTTTTAATTATTTATGGAGCCCTTACTCTAAATAAAGTGGAAGTATTTTATGTAATTTAGTTTTTAGCTCATGTAATTTTAATTTGAGGTTTTAGTAATGCTGAGTTATTTCCAAAATGTTGACATTGAGGTCAAAGCATAAAAATGCAGAGAGAAGCTTTCATATGTGCAATTAGCTTTATCTGTGTTGCATCACCAGCCAGCAATTTAATGCTGATCTGCCAAGTCTTGATCAGAAGTTTATGATTTTAGAATGAAACCAATCAACCACAATCTTTATGTAAGAGTGCAAAGTATATACCTTCTCACTTAATTGTGTAATATTTGCATGGGACTTGGAAAGCAATGCATATATATTTCTTTTCCTAAAAAAGACACAGTAATGGAAATTCATACTTCAGTACAGTCCTCCTCTTTTCAGCCTCTGATGAAGAATCCTATTTTAAGAAATTGATCGAGAAAGAATTGAGTTCCACGGTGTTCGACTATTCCTAACAAGGCTCAAGTCTTGTTCTCCTGTGTAGTAAATTTAATGTAAATTTTCATATGGGATTCTTCCTGGATGACCAACTCTGGACTACCAGAAAAATTTTTTTTAAGTTCTGTGACTTTTCTGGGAAACAAGAACAAGAGAAGACTTACTCCTCATCTTTCTCAAGAAAATAAATAGATGTTGAAAAAAGAATCACTTAGCTATTCTGACATATCAGTTCCAATACCTTGAAATGAGGTCATTGTACGTAAATAATTGAATTCTATCGCTCCTAATTCCAAGTAGATTTTCTAAAAGTAAATATCTATGAATTTGTTTGCTTATTTTCTGAATATGCAATGTTTTCTTTAAAGATTTTTTGAAATTTTGCCTGTTCTGTGTAAAATAAAGTGTTTTAGTGTGCATTATAGGTATAGTAATCTGGAGCATCTTCTTTCTATCCCTGTTAATAAAGGGACTGGAGATTTAATTCTTAAAACCAAAATATTGAACTGATTTTGCAAGCATGGCTAGTTTTTCTGGAAGCATGCTATAGAAAAAAGTAAGGAAAATTGATTGAAAAATCCAACTGTTTCCTATATACATAAAGAATATTCTGTAAAATTATCTGTTGTTTGACAGTGATATTATCAATATTTTGCTATCAAAATAGTGCAACACTAGTATCTGTCTTTTGTATAAAAATGTTATCTTCATATACATAATACCTCTGGTCTTTGCAACTACATAATTGTTCAGTAATTTAAAAAAAAAAAAAAAAAAAAAAAAAAAGCTAATAGCAGACTCCTTTCCCTGAAAGTGTTCCTTGTATTTGCTTTTGTTAAAAATGGTAACCTGGGACCTGTGACATCTCTACCACCTCATTCCTTTTGGAAAAAAAAAAAGTATGGTTCATTGTAGATGAACGAGATATTGGCATCTGCATGTAATAATCCCCCAAATTCAATTGAAAACTTCCAATATAGAAGGAATTGGTTAGACATTGTAATGTATGCAAGACAGATATCTAGACACAGAAGAAGGCTGAGGGTGTGTGGCACTGGAGATCATTCATTCTGATTGAATTGCTATGGCATTGCTGTTCTCCCATTTGTCTTTCCTTTGTGTATGTTGTTATTTATTGGTTGCTACAATGTAATGATATATGCTATTGTTAAATAAAATTGATTGATCAATTCATTTATTCATTCCTTCATAAATATTTATTAAGCGTCTACTCTGTATTAGGCACAGTTAGAAGTCTGGAAATCTGTAAGAGAACAAAATAGACCAAATCCTGCATCCCGAAAATATATTCCAGTGAGAGAAATCAGACAAGAGACATAATAAATGTTACACAGCATTCTTAAATAAAATGTAGCTTTAGTGAGTTGCACTGTTGAACTTTATTTTTTGTTTTGTAAATCTATAATGTGATGTTCATTTTAATGTCTAATTTATTCTACCTGAATAGAGTCTTACTGAATTTAACTTAGCTAAATTTGAACAAAAAAGTAAAACTGTCAATATCATCAAATGAAAATCATGACTACAAAGTTGAAAGGTCTAAGGTTTTGGATTCAGATGTTCATCATTTTTTATCTTCAGTCTTGGTGACTAAAAATTTTATAAAATCTGTAAAACTTATCAGTATCTCACCATACAGAATTAACTTTTTACATTTAAAATAATAATTTCTGCAAACCAGCTAAGGAAGCAGTATGTGCCATGTGGCTTGGACGAGTGCAGGACTGAGGGAAGGCAGCTTGCAGTGGACTCTGGGAAGGAGAGGCTATTTCCCTGCAGCCTCTCTTCTTTCCCTGGATGCTGAACTCTCTGGAAAAGGGGAAATAGCGCAGGGACATTTCAGCCAAACCCAATTTTCCCACAGTCTTTACTAGTGAAGTTAAATGATGCTTATGCTGCATTATCCAACTAAGAAAGTATTTCTTATCATCTTATAAACATACCAACCCTGTAGGAAACATTCCCATGATTCCAAATGCATTTCCCACAGTGTCAGAATTATGTTACAAACCTAAAAGCTATTTTACTTATCACACTTGATCTTGCGCGAGGTTAAATTTTATATTTCTTAGATGTTTTAGACTCTATCTTCTCTGTGTGCAGTTTTGTGGATGCACTCTAAATAGACACATGTGGACATAGTACAACAATCTTCACTATGCGGGTGGTGGCAAAAGTAGGTTTACAGTGGTGAGTATGCAAAAGTTTATTCTTGTACTATTATTTATTAATTATTGTATAATTTTGCATATGAACAACTGTAAACCTACTTTTTTCCACCCCACATGTAAAGGAAATACAGATATATTTATTTTCTTCCCTGTACCAAATATTAACATCCCCTATACACACCTGCCTCCAAAGGGATTATGTCAATTCATTTTTAAATAAAATATTTTAAATAAACTTCAAATTGTGCAGCCATTAAGTGTGTTTATTTTTTTCTAAATTGAATAACATTTTAATTTCCACGTTTAAAATGTTACCCATGGAGGAAATTATCTACATCTATTAAAATTCTTTGGAGAAAAGCAAATATCCACATAGCAAATACTGGTAGCATTGGTTGACACTCCTGGTTTTATTAACTGTTTTCCATTGTAATTCTAATGATTATATTTGTGATGTTTAGAAAATTTAAAGCTTTTCTAATAGGCTTCTATTTCAATAGTTTCACTTTTGCTAAAGACAAATAATCCAAAAAATTTTTCTCCGTAGGAAAATGATACTTCATTGATTGAAAATCATCTCAATTCATTTACACCAACATTTTCTTAACCAAGCCCTAAGGTAACACCTTTAGACAGAGATTGGTCTCTTTCCTGAAATGGCAGAGCAGGTGTAAAATGGAAATTTTACTATCCGTTATGGAAATTGTAGTAATAAACTCATAATTCTAAGAAGTAATGCTTTTAAAATAACTTCTACGGCACTATTGTCCCACAGTGCACAGTAGTCGATAATAAAGATGGAAGGCTATACTCTTAAAAGAAAGAGGTTATATTCCACTTCTCTGATCATTCCATTTTTATTCATAATTGAACATCTGAAACTCCATAAGGCTGCTTATCAAAGATTCCCCACAAATACCCTTAATGATTCGGTTGAACTCATTTTTTTATTATATTGAAAAGATTTGGTATTAGCAGCCCCAAAACTTTGTATTAAATCTCCCCAAGTATGCAGTGTTTGAAGGGCTTACCTGTGGACAAATTTTCAGATTGAGGCTGGGCCAAGAGCACATTGAGAGAGTGTTGAGAATCCCTATTCATTTTTAAAAGGAAAAATGAGAACCACTCAAAGGAATTGGGTAGAGCTGAGAGCTTTTGTTTAAGGAAAGCCTAGCCTTTCCCTCCTTTGTTCTCCTACCTCTCTGAGTAAGTTCCTTTTATCTGTCTGGTGCTGCATGTGTCACTCCCCTGAATCTCAACAACTGTGCACAGCCTGGATGTGCAAAAGCCTAGCGAAATTCCTAATCAGCATCTTCAGCAAACTGAACGCTTTTCTAGCCTTTGTTGGTTTATTTGAAAAGAAACAAAGACATGATGGACCCCTATTGTCTAAAGAAAATGGAGGGAGGGGATTGAAAGAAGACACTAATTAATTTTTAAAGTTATATGTACATACACCTGTTTCAGGAGAGATGCCCTAGCACTTGTTAGCACTTGCTTTCCTTTTTAAGACACCTGAATCAAAGTTCCTGTTACTTTGCGATGATATTCCTATTTAAGAAGCCCAGATAGACCAGAAGATCTTTATATTTATTGAGTGCCTTATATACACCGTACACTATGAGGCAATATGGAGAGCATTGTTTACTCAAGTTTCATATAAAGAATTTCATTCTCTAAAAATACAGAAATTCACTTCTTTAATCTTATCCTTTTTTTTCTTGTTAAAGCATATGGAATCTCAAAGAGTTGAATATATTTTGACAGATGCAATAATACCTTCAAATACTTTCAGATATTTCAAATTATAGGTTCAACTCCCACTTCTGCTAGTTGTGAAATTGAACAATTTGCTTAACTTCCTTGAGCCTTAATTGTTCCATCTGCAAACTGGAAAATGCCTGCCTCAAAATGTCAGTGTGAAAAGTAAATGAAAGGGCACAATTAAAGAAGTTAGCATTGTACCTAACACAAAGTAAGCACTAAATAAGTAAGAGCTATTATTTTTTCCAGTACTCTTATTATTGTCCCTCACCACTCTCCTTTACCCTTATTTTAAAGAACTTAACATTAACTAATCACAAGAGGACAAGGGGCGTGTTTTATTTATTTTTGTACCCTTAGTTCCCAGCAAACTGCCTGGCATACAGTGGGTGCTTAATAAATGTTTGAGTAAATAATAAAAGTACAGCTTTTAATGAAGCAACAATTCACAAAATAATGTAGGAGGAATTTAGCAAATTAGATGGTAATACTAGCTAGAGAAACTTCTGTTAAAACTATATATATATATATATATATATATATATATATATATATATATATATATACACACACACACACACATATATATATATGCTAAAATTCATGTGTTCAAATATTCCAGACACTTTAGAATAGATTTTCAACCCTAGTACCAAAGGTGAGCATTATCTACACCTTATTTGAAAAGCTATTAGGTGTGTTGTACTAATAGCTATAGGTGATAGCTGTATACCCATTTCCATTAGAATGTTAAACATTTTACAATGTGTGAATCTTGCTTTTTTCTACACATTCTTCCATATTTTAATTAGCTATTATAATAAAAAAAGAAAAATGATAAGATTAGCTCATTTTAACTACTATTTTATAGCATATCTTAGAAATTAATAGTGCTTTGCAACAAATCCCAAATTTTCACAACCACATTTATAATTTGTAAAACTTTATATTTAGAGAATGTTTTCTATAAACTAATAATTTCCAGCTACCTAAAGAACAGACAATTAGTTGCCTTAATTTTATAGACCGATAAACTTTCTTTAAAACATTATATTTAGAGATGTTTTCCATAAACTAATAATTTTTATCTATAGAAAGAAAAGGCATTTAGCTGCCTTAATTTTATAAAGCAACTACAGATGGATAAGCTTGACCTGGCCAGCTTTGCTCAGTGGATAGAGCATCAGCCTGCAGACTGAAGGGTCCCAGGTTCAATTTTGGTCCAAGGCACATGCCCGGGTTACAGGCTCAATCCCCAGTGAAGGGGATGGTTCTCTCTCATCATTGATGTTTCTCTCTCTCTCCCTCTCCCTTCCCCTCTGAAATCAATAAAAATATATTTTAAAAAAATAAAATAAAGATGGGTAAACTTTCAAGTGTTAAAACATTTATCAAATCAAAGGAAACGTAAGAGACTTCCGGGTCACTTAGTCATGTCAACCTAAGGCAGAATTTAAGAAAGTAATACAAGCACCAATCCTGACAGTGGCCCACAGTAGTGTTCTTCAGGGCATCTCTGTGAGGAACTCAAAGAGCATTTCATTTACATTCTTAATCAAGTTTTTAAAAGTAGTTTCTACACTTACAAAGTACTTAGGAAAGCAATTAGCGTAGAACTGCCGTGTTGTGCAAAGTAAATTACACTCTAAGTCACAGTTCCAAGAGCAAGTTAAACTTCCACATTTACAAATTTGCTGAGACAAAAGATTTGTATCAGAATTACTAAATGGATGTTACCATGCGATTTTATAAAATATAAATACATGATCTCAATGATGTTGTGGCCAAGAGTGGTCATTGCTTGTCTGCAAATAACTGAAATTTCTGAGGTGTGGCCAGGAGTTCACTGTGGATTGCACGTTTGCCAGGGCTATCTTTTAGTTGGTGGCTTTAGTTTCCATTTATAAAATCAATGCATTCTGCTAACATGTCTTTTACTTCACGGCCTTTAACGAGTTTGAATTTGGTGTGTGTGTGTGCATGCGTGTGCACGCATGTGCTTTAACTGAAAACTGCAGTTATTACTAGCCACCAGTAAACTTTTTCATTTTATATGAATTTTTACAATAATTCTTCATCGTATTTTCTGTCTTATTTGCTTCAAATTGATAGTCACAACTGGAGAAAAATTGTTGGCTCCCATTGGAGACATGTAATAGAATGGAATAAAAATTCATGGAACAAAATTCTAATTAAATCCAAAATATTGGACAATTTTAAGGAAGCTAATTTGATGCAAATAAGTATATACAGTTTTTTAAACTATTAATTCTTTATTTTTATTTTAACTTGCGAGTGCTTGCTCTGAGAAAGGCATATTGCTACATGCTAGAGAGCAATGGAAAACGATCTAGCTCTTTTCCTAAAGGAGGTCACAGTTGACTGTGTCTAAACAAGATGCGGAATATGGAGACAGGTGACTTTAAATTAGTCTTTTACTACATGAGGCGGACTACTAAATAGTCTTTAACTTCATATAATAATTTGAAACTAATTATTTCATTGCCAAAGGTGATAACTTTGCTTCTCTAGATGATTATTAATGGACATTTTTCCCATCAGAGTTACAGTGCTAGGTATGTAATGATTACTCAATAGAAAATTATTTTAAAGATTTCACATTCAGTATCTAGTGTAAAGCTATTTAATGTACTTCTAAGCATATTTATTTTTGTATATTTATTTTACTACTGATATCTAGCCACACAAAACCAGTGTGTATACAATACTAAATATAATACTTTTGTCAAATTCTGAAACTGGAGAGTTACATAGAGATTTTTGAATGTTTATAATTTCTCCTTTACAGTTCTACTTCTCTCATTATAGGAATCCCCATATGTTATGTTCAAGAAAAATCATGAAATGTTTGAAGGAAATGACAAGTATGAAGGATACTGTGTAGACTTGGCATCTGAAATTGCAAAACACATTGGTATCAAGTATAAAATTGCCATTGTCCCTGATGGAAAATATGGAGCAAGGGATGCAGACACAAAAATCTGGAATGGGATGGTAGGAGAACTTGTTTATGGGGTAAGCAAATCAATTGTTTACATAAACCTGAAACTTTTTTTTACATGAGCACATATCAATTTTTAAATGTCTATTACTGTTTTTTTTTAATTTGCAGTTACATTCAAAGAGACATATATGGTGTTCAACTATTTCTCTATTTCATTTATAATGCAATTCCCAAACAATGAGAGAAACTAACGCTTGATAACTTCAAAATAAGGAAAAAGAGATAAAAATTCAGAATATGATGTCCTATTTTTAAAAAACAACACTAACTTCAGTATCTGTGATGATTATTCTCTCATGTTTGATTCTTCTATCCCATAGACATGTTGTTTTGAGAACTACAAAACAAATCCATTAGTAATTGTAACAACAGATTTCCTTCAATAGCATAAAGTTGAACCTCATTTTAGCTAGTTTATTTATATCCCTATTGGTTGTAATTCTGGTAAATGTTTTTTAAGTAATTGGTGAAGTGATCACTACACTATTTTAACATCTATAAAATATTCATCAATAATGTGAGATTCTTACAATTCTGCTGAACATAGTAAATTTAAACTTTATGCAATGCCACAATTTTTTCGCACCTAGCAAAGCACAAAAGCTAGAATTTCTTCCACAGCAGGCCTCACATGAAAGCATGTCATGCCCTCTCTTTTGTGTTCCCCAGGTATTGCGCGTACACATTTATAGCCAAGGGCGAATTCAGTGTACACATTCTTGCCTGAATCAGAACAAGATCGCTCTCTTCAGCTACCACTGCAAAGTATCTAAATCAAACAAGCAGTTATCAAATGCTAGTGATGGTATGATATTTCCAACATCCGGAAACCCAGCCTTGAATAGTACATTTTATTCACCTAATAGTGAATAAAAGTCACATCACTTGCAATTTATTCTGAAATTTCCTATAAGCCAATTCATAGATCACAAATGTCACCTTCAAGTCACAGTCTGTCTGATTAATCCTCTCAAGGCCCCTTTGAAATGAAGGATTTTATGAAAGTCTTCCTTCCCCAGAAAAGAATAAAGGTAGAATGATTTAGAACATAAATGATGTCCTACACCAGGGCTTGCTTTCCAAGCCAGAACTGCCATCCAAGTTTCATGATTCTGCATCTTGCTTTTCAAACCATGAAGCGATGAACATTCTCCATACAGTTCAGTCTAGTAGCTATAATCTCGGCAGCAAGAGGAAACTGTTTGGCATTAAAAAAGTAATCAGTTATTTTATATTTATTTGCAAGAACTGCTGACTAGGTGACTTAAACAGGGGGGTGGGGACTAGGGGCAGGGAATGAAGTTGTAAAAAATCAAAAAGTATTTTATCCCAAGGCGCGTGATCAATTTGATATTGAGCTTTAAATTCCACAGGAAAGGGGGTCCTAACACTTGTGCTTCTTGGTAATATTTTAGACTTTAGATACAGTAAGCCAATTTTAAATGTGAACATTATCCAGGTTATTATAATTCTCTACTGTACTTTATTTCCTTCAGAAAACAGTATTGAGTATTTCTCTTCAAAAAAATTAGGTTACCAATTAGTTTTGGATGAGTTACTTTCTAAGGCATTTTATATATATCCTCCGGAGTCCCTACCAATTAGGCAGTCCAAGCTCACCTCTTGCAAGGGTTCTGACCACATTTTATTAGGGGGATATTGTTTAAATAATGAAAATAAACTATATGAAGAGAGTAGCACAATTAAAAACAAAATCAGTAGTACACATGTCACAATAATCAAAAGTCTGAAGTTAGGCCATTCTCAGAGAGAAAGATTTTAACAGTGATTAATACTCATTATAGTCATTCATTCATCAGCCAATCTGAGAGGATTTAAATATCCCCATCTCTGCCACTTCAGTTATCCACTTTTTTCTCAAAAGAAATCTTCCATGCCTCTTACACTTTCTACAGATTTGGTATTTTCTATTCTGGTGTCTGCTAAGTCTGTACTTTCTCTCTCTCTCTCTCTCTCTCAACACTTACTAGTACATGAATGCCCAGTTCCCAGGGTTTTAGGTAAAACTCCATCCATTCTCTTCTACCTAACACAGGCTGTTAGACAGCAACATGCTTATCTTTGAATCCATTATTATTATTATTATTATTATTATTATTATTATTATTATTTCTTTATTCTTTGCTAACTTTGTTACTGTAATTGTTAGAATAGATTACGCGTGAAACACCTGTGATCTCCGCACACCACAGGGCAGTGACTCAGAGGCTCAGAACCTCCCTTACACTTTAAGGTCCTTCCTGCCCATCACACCTGCTCACGTCCATCCTATGACCTGCGGTGCACTGCTTCAGGACCTTCTGGTCCCTGCCATACTTGTGTGTATTTTCATCCAAGGGGATATTTTTCAAAGTATGTTCCATAGCCTACCATGTGTTAAAATGCTGGTTCATGACTCTCACTCCAGAGGTCCTCCCAAATTCAGGTATTACCAAGCTCTTGCAGGAGATAGTTTACACTTAATTTTCAGAATCGCTGAGAGGTAATGGAACCAGGCACACACAGCACATCCAATGATAGTAGAGAAAGCCCCAGTGTATCATCTCTGTTCACTGGCCTCTTTCAAAACACCAATTTCAGACTTTGAACGTATCCTCATTGAACATCACTGTCACCACCTTAATCCAATGTTGGTCTTCTTTTGTATCTACTTTCCTAAGCTGGAGACTCTTTTATTTCTCTCCACATTTCTTCCCTTTTAAGGTTTTTCCCTCATTAGTGGTAACATATAAATAAAAATTTTCCAAAAGATACTACGCAGAACAATGTAGTGTGTGAAAGGTGGTGTTTCCAATCAAGGAGAGGGTACATTATTCATTTATTCTTGATAGCTGAACAATTACTTGGAAAATTAACAATTTTGTAACACATCATCATGTAGTATACCAAATAAGTTTTAGAGAGATTATCCTTATAGGTGCTAGATTAAAATATGTATGGTTAAAAAATTAAAAATAGGGCAAGGAGAGGTCAATGGAGGGAAAAGGAGACATATGTAAAACTTTCAACAATAAAGAATTAAAATAAATAAATAATATGTAATTGAGATTGATCATATGATGTGAGGTTTATTCCAAGTATGAAATCAAAGGATGAAAACACAAAAAAGGTAATTTTATATGACTTCAACAAAATTTAAAATGTGTGTATTGCAACAAAATACCATGAACTAAGTCAGCGATTTTCAACCAGTGTGCTACAAGAATTTGTAAAGCATACAATACTGTACCTGACTATTTAGTCAGGGGAGCTGACCTCTTTTCCCTTAGATTGTCAAATAAAAAAAATGACAGCAGCCAACACAATAGCTATGCAGTGTAAATCAATTAAGATTATATCTATTTTTGTTTGTCAGATCAGCAAAAATATAATATATTTTTGGTGTGACACAGACTTTTAGTAATTAGTTTATGTGTGCCATGAGATTAAAAAAAAAAAGGTTGAAAATCATTTATGGAAATGAAACAATTCATGAATAGGGAAAATATTTGCAACACAGAGAAAATAAAAGAATATTTTGAATAGATTTAAAAGCACTTACAATTAGTAAGTAAAAAAATGAATACCCCATATGGAAAATATGGACAGATTAAGAAGTACAAGTGACTATTTATTTAATAAAAGCAAATTCAAATTAACACAATGTGATCTAATTTGCCAGCTAGCAAATTAGTGAAGATAAATAGAATAAAGATACACAACGGTTGTCCACGATTTAAAGCTGCAGGTATATTCGCACAGTGCTGGGGAAAGTAGAAATTTTGCATAACCTTTTGTGAGAAAAGTTGGGCAAGCATATTATGAGTATTGAAAGATTTTACCCATTTAGACTAGCAATCACATTTTTAGAAGTTTATCTTAAATAATTAAGATATGTGCAAGGATTTGTCTTCAAGGATGTTCACATCATTTGTATTATAAATTGTATAAAACTGAAAACAATGCAAATATCCCCAAAAATAATAAATTGAGCAAATTGTGATATTTTCACATAATGAAATATTTGCAATCATTAAAACTTATTTTAATGTATATTTTGAAATGACAATGAGTTCATATTCTTTTGAGAAGAGAAAATTAATTATACAATATGATTTTCTGCATTATCCCATTTTAAAATAAGGAAGATATTATTTCTAAAACAATGTCTAACCCTAACCGGTTTGGCTCAGTGAATAGAGCGTTGGCCTGCGGACTGAATGGTCCCAGGTTCTATACTGGTCAAGGGCATGTACCTTGGTTGCGGGCACATCCCCAGTGGGGGATGTGCAGGAGGCAGCTGATCGATGTTTCTCTCTCATCGATGTTTCTAACTCTCTGTCCCTCTATCTTCCTCTCTGTAAAAAATCAATAAAATATATTAAAATAAAATAAAACAATGTCTAACAGGGCATATATAAAGAAAAAATAAGAGTAGATGAAGGGAATGGAGATATATTTTCTTCATTTTCTGGTTTTGTTTTATGTACTGTTTCTATAGCTAGTTCCTCTACCACTTGTGTAAAATAACTTGATAAAACAATAACCTCCCAGCAATGACTCTGGCTCTTACATATCCGGGTGTGTATGGTGTGAACTAGGTTCATTCCTACTTGAAGGCATGTGCAGTGAATCCTCAGCCACCCGGAGGGTAGCAGGATGGCCAGAGTACACTCCCCAGACCAGCCCTCCAGGAGCCCTCTGTCCAGCTGCTGGCCATTGCAGGGGTGAATGTCAGAGTGGCCGCCTCTATGAAAAACATGTATGTGCTGGTATGTCTCAGATTCCATTTCAATGCCAAATACTTTCCTCTTAAAATAATAATTTTTTTTTCATTTGTAGATCATGTAACAATTTACAGTATTTTCATCACACTCTATGTGATGTTAGAGATGACATGATTTAATAGAAGAAGCACAGGTCAAATCGCAGAGCGGCCGTGATGTGTAAAGCTCACCTGAGTCTCAGTTTCAGCATCTATAAAACAGTGATAAACATAAGCTTGATATGAGGGTGAAATGGGCAGCCATTTAAAATATTTAGTTTCATATCAGAGACATGCTCCCTCAATAAACACTCACTGTTATTTTATTAAGGTTTTTTAAATAAACAATCACAGTAACACAATGAGATAAAAGGAGAAAATGGGGAATCTGTTTCCAATTTTTAGAGATATTGGAAAAAGATCCCCCAATATAGCTAAAATCAATGAATGAAAATGTAAGCTGGTGTCTTATGATCATAATATCTGAGAATTGAATCCACTGTTTTCCAATATCTTTTTTTAGAACCCGAAGGTGAAAAATCAAAGTATGTAAATATGAAGAAACAAATGCCAATTTCCAGATTTTTGTGTGTGTGTTTAATTGGAAAATACAGTCAAGCAATGGGTTTCTTCTGTCTTACAAACACAGATTTTATAGGTTTTTCTCATAATTGGAAGGCATAAAAAAGAAAGGACTATTTAAAAGTTGCATTGCATAATATTAAGGGGTGGCCAAGTAATGAATCAGTGGCAACATTTCAAATGAAACAGAAAAGATTGCAAGATAGCATGCCTGGCCAAGAAATTCAGAAATTCAGCCACATGGAAAGACTGTCTCCTCCTCTTGCTGTCCTAGATCCTTAAAGACTAATACAATTATCTGAGTAGAAGTTATTTTTGCTTATGTCTACTATTTCTCCATTTCTTTCTCTTATCTAATTACTAGCACCAATAAAAATAGTAGTTTGTGCAATTTAAGTGACACATCTATATATATAAAAGCCTAAGCAACCGTTATAACCGAATGACCAGACTACTGGACGACCGGCCTGTAGCTATGGCATGCACTGACCATCAGGGGGCTGACACTCAATCAGGAGCTGCCCTCTGGTGGTCAGGGCGCTCCCACAGCCAACCTCCCATGGCCAGCCAACCTTCCGCAGTCTCTCCCCCTGGCCGGCCCTTCTTGGCCCCAATCACCAGCCAGGCCGAGGGTCCCCACCTGTGCACAAATTCATGTACCAGGCCTCTAGTTATCTTATGAAAGAAAACAAGTCAACTGTTCACCTTTGCATTTGTCATTGTTGGCATTGGGAAAAGAAATTGTATAGCTAATGTGTAACTGGTTAGCTGTGAGTGGATCAATCCAGTGCTAATTGCTTCACAAAGAGCATTAACCTATGTGTTTTCATGTGTCTTTTCTCTTATAGAAAGCAGAGATTGCTATTGCCCCTCTGACAATCACTTTGGTCCGAGAGGAGGTCATTGACTTCTCTAAGCCCTTCATGAGTTTGGGCATATCTATCATGATCAAAAAGCCTCAGAAATCTAAACCAGGAGTGTTTTCCTTCTTGGATCCTCTGGCCTATGAGATCTGGATGTGCATAGTCTTTGCCTACATTGGTGTCAGCGTGGTCTTGTTCCTAGTTAGTAGGTTTAGTCCATATGAATGGCACACAGAAGAGCCAGAGGATGGAAAGGAAGGACCCAGCGACCAACCTCCCAATGAGTTTGGCATCTTTAACAGCCTCTGGTTCTCCCTGGGTGCTTTTATGCAGCAAGGATGTGACATTTCACCCAGGTTAGTCTCAACAGTTTTTCACCAATTCCCCAGTATTGCTAAGTGTTGTACAAATCATCTCTTTACATGTTTTTCCCCTGAAGGCAGAGCATTACTTGAAACAGAGAAAAAAATCTTGCAATTTCCAAATTAATTTGAACATAGTCATAGCCAAAATTTCCAAGATAGCATAATATATAGATACATCCCAATGGAAATTTTACATATGCAACTCACCAGAATTCTCAAAAAATAACTTAGTATTAATATTTCCTTCAATGGTTTGACAGACAGAAACTAAAATCTAAATTGTAAAAATGGGATTCATGTTATTTTTGTCTCCTTTTCAAAATAAAATGTTTTTGTTACTGTTGCTGGTCTTAATTTTTAAAAATTAATTTTGAATTTTATTTACATCCCATGTATCTAAAGGGAGATTTCTGTCATAGCATTTCCTAAATCCTGAGATAATATAATAGGTACTAGATATGCATTGTTCTGTATGACAACATATGACAAGCTAAGCAGTAGGCAGAGTCAGCAATGCAAATACTATGGTAGCTTTATAGAGATGTTTTTCACTATCTGTGGAGTCATAGCTCACTTTTTTTGGATGCCACTGAGATGTTTTTCATTTTTGTTTGCCAAAAATGCAGCTAATCTCCTGTGCATAAACAAGTACCAATTTTGCCCTTAGAAAAAGTAGCTGAAGGCAGGAAAAAACTGAAAATTAAATTTAAATAGTAACTTATATCAGTGTTACAAGTACATGGATTTTTTTTTTAAAGAAATGTATGCATTCTCAAAAATAGACAATTTAGCCACAGAACAGTTTGTGTTCCTTAAGACCCAAGGAAATGGACCTGGAGAGCATTCTGCTAAGTGAAATAAGCCAGTCAGAGAAAGATAAATATCACATGATCTCACTCATTTGTGGAATATAATGAACAACATAAACTGATGAACAAAAATAGATCCAGAGACATAGAAGCATAGAACAGACTGTCACACCTCAGAGGGAAGGCAGGGGAAGGAAGGAGAGGGGTAAGAGATGAACCAAAGGACTTGTATACACACATATAAGCATAACCAATGGACACAGACAGTAGGGGGGCGAGAGCCTGTGGGGTGGGGGGAGCTGCCAGGAGAGGTCAATAGCGAAAAAAGGAGACATATATAATACTTTCAACAATAAAGAATTTTTTTAAAAAAAGGCCCAGGGAAACTGTAAGTGTACTTGAATTCTAACATGGAAATATAAATCCTTATCTCTCAATCAATGAAATGAAAAGAAATCAAAGTAAATGGAGTAATGGTTTCAAAACTAGTCTTAAGCAAATACTAAGTTAGCATCAACAGGTGCCATTTATCTGATAATGGTTAAGAAGAGAGCATTTTAAAGCTAGAAATACCATGGAAAACATGAAATGTGTCCTCACATTTTTAAAGAAAAATGTTTAAATACAATTTGTTACAGGAATTTAAAATAGTTTGACGGTCCCAATGAGTGAGATCAATTATAAATATGCCCTTCATTGTTTGTTGATTCTATTCTCACTTTTCCTCTGCACTCACACTCACCCACATATCCCCGATAGCCAGAGAAAAGGTGAGGAGGAAACTTTTTTTTTTAGATTTAGCACCAGTTTTTAATGTTGTTGCTACACACTAACAAAGCACCCACTTTGGTCTCATGTTGGCAGGGACAGAGCGAATATTTTTATGCCAGTATGTAAAGACGCTTTAGGACATAACTCATTCACTCTGATAAGAACTGAGCTAGCAACAAATCCTGAAATGTAATCAGTTTGAGACCAATCCTAGATCTTCATCTGGTCCACCCCATCTTGGCATATGTCTCATCCTTCCTGCCAGAGCTCTGACTTAAGGTGAAAACCAGTTCTCTCAGAAGGTCTTCTACCAACTTAAGTCTAAGACCTCACCCGCTTTTAATAGGTATTGCTACTTTATGTGCCACCAAGAGAAAAACAATGCTGCCAATTAAGCCATGATTCTGTTTTTATCTCAATATAATGTAGGTTGCATCTAATATCAAATATGCTAAATATTAAGGGGGGGTAATCAATGAATTAGTAAGTATTTCTCTTTTGTACTTAAAGGAAAGGTATTAAGTTCCATAGTTCTGCCTAATAACAATAAAAAGAAAAAAGTTCCCATATTTTCAGGGGCATTTATACATTTCATATAGCATAGGCAACATCAAAGCATACAGAAATACTAGAATCATTCTTGAGTAGATTATCAGAAAATAAAATGATATTGCAGTTGTTATTTTTAAGCCACATGGGAAATTGATGGTATTTCTTTTCTTTCTCTCTGTTGGTTGGAGAAAGGAAAATGTGCATTATCTTATCCATGTTTAGATCCCTCTCAGGTCGAATTGTTGGAGGTGTTTGGTGGTTCTTTACACTCATCATTATATCATCTTACACTGCTAACCTCGCTGCTTTCCTGACGGTGGAGCGCATGGTCTCCCCCATAGAAAGTGCAGAAGATCTGGCCAAACAAACAGAAATTGCCTACGGAACACTGGATTCAGGGTCAACAAAAGAATTCTTCCGAGTAAGTTCAGGGGAACAACTAACAATGAAATGTTCATCATTTTTAAATCCAGGAAATTTTGCCAACAAGGATATTATGGGCTCTAGCCACTGTAGGTTTTGCAAACGCAGTGGTAACTGCCATGTTTAATGCTAATATTTCCATGTGGATTCTATAACCATTTTAACTTTCAAAAACTAATTGATTTATTTGCATTGCAAGAGGGACCCTCTCTAAGCAAGAGTAACAACAAAAAGGTAATTACAACAACTTTATAACATAATCTATCTCGAAGATTCCAGGGCTGATCATGCCATGATACTGCCTCTGGCAAGTTTGTATTTATGTGTGCGTGCTTGGGGGTTAAGAGCATAAAAATGAAAGCAAGAGTGTTGTTGTTGTTTTGTGTGTTTTGTTTATGTTTTTGTTTTTTAAATAATACATTTAACTTTCTGCATTTGAAACCCAAAACCTTAATTGCAGGTTATCTTCCCTACATGAGGCACATTATTCTATAATCTCTTTTGTAGTGACAATTTCAGATAATGGTAGCAAAAACTATTAAGTTTTGGACATCTCTGTGAGATGTTGTATGGAATTTTATTTGTACTAATTCCTCTGCTTTTGCAGATAAAGTTGTTCAAAGTGAAATAATTGCATTTACATATGAATATGACCCCTTTGGCTTGTCATTAGGATGGTAGGTATATTTGTTGTTTTTGTTTTTGTAGTTGCTTGCTTCATGAGGATGAAATTTTTTTTTCTTTTTTTATCAGTGAACCTCTTTTACTCTGGTTCTACTTAAATCTAGAGATACAGGATTGGTAATGTCTGATCAGAGTTCAGGGTTCATTTTGTGACTTCAGAACTAAAGTATATAACTACATAATAATGAAGGAATGTTGTTTTACTTTCAATTGCTTAAAGAAGACAAGATATATTTGACTTATTTCTTAAGCTTTTATGGAAAAATGAAAGCCCTTTAAAGAAAGTGTCATGCTTATATACAGTTGTTGAGAGATTACACTTTCATTTTTAATGCATATATTTTTGTTTTCTCATTCAACTTGGGAATTAAATACAACAAAATGTTCTACTCCTTAAGAAAGGCTTAACTTTCATGTACCTGAATTCAGTAAGCTATTTCTCTTTTTATTTATTTATTTTATTTCATTTTTTTAATCCTCACCGAAGGATATTTTTTTCCATTGATTTTTACAGAGTGGAAGGGAGAGGGAGAGACAGAGAGAAACACCAATGTGAGAGAGACACATTGATTGATTTCCTCCTGAATGGGCTGGGAGCCTGCAATGGAGGTATGTGCCCTAGACAGGAAATGAACCTGGGACCCTTCAGTCTTCAGGCCGATGCTCTATCCACTGAGCCAAACTGGCTAGGGCTATTTTTCTTTTTAAAAATGATTTGATTATGCCCAGCCAATGTTCCCCAAAGGTTGAGCATTGACCTATGACCCAGGAGGTCATGGTTTGATTCCAAGTCAGGGCACATGCCTGACTTGTGGGCTGGGTCCCCAATAGGGGTGTGCAGGAGGGTGCCAACTGATGATTCTCTCTCATTATTGATGTTTCTATCTCTCCCTCTCCCTTCCTCTCTAAAATCAATAAAAATATATTTTTTAAAATAAATTAAAATAAATAAAAATCATTTGATTATAATATCCTGATATTTTACAGATATTTACATTAATACTAAATCAAAACAAATCACTCAAAAACTCAGTCAAACCCATCTCTGGGTATTGTTTAAAAAAGACACCACACACTGAGTAACATCCTTGTCAACAATGTGGAATGTTGCTAGTAGAGATAATATAAAATTTATAAGTTAATTAAAAAGTAGTAGTGGATATTTCTAAAATTATAAATAATATTCATGACAATAAATATTATTAACAATTGTTTAATTACTGAGTATATTTCAGTCTATAAAGTTTAATAATGGGAACATATTTTAGCACAATCTCTGTAAGTTTATAACTGCTTCCACCCAAAGTAGGTAGGTAAAATTTAGTAACTTTGCCTAGAAACTATTATCTATATTTATCAAAACAAAATACAAGTTTGTGCTATAACTTGCATTTTACTGGGAAAATTATGGCTGATATTTATGTAAATAAAGCAAATATTTGCAAATTCATCATTCTGTTTTGAGTGGCAAGGGAGAAAGAAACATCACGTTGATTCCTTGAAAACATTTCAAAAATAACTCACTGTAAAGATCTTTGCCAACAAGCACACTGAACATGTTTATTTCTGATATTTATAAAGCTTTAAAAAGCTGCTCAAGTTCTACAACCTGGTGAGGTAGATAACAGAGTATATTGATAAGAAATAAAGGAATAAAGCTAGTTGGTCCCCAGGCTGCACAGCCTTTCATACAAGCTGTGCACGCACCAAACCCCGTGACCTTCCTCTCCCACCCAACTTCAGTTTTTAAATTGAAAGAGTCTTATAAGTGAAGGTATTTATTGTTGCAGAACTGTCTGAAGCTAATGGGACAAGGATATAATTTTCCTTCACGGCACATTTTCAGGAATGCATAAATTTGGGCTCTGATAAAAATCTCATTCGTTTCCTTCCCTGTGTTCTCCTTCCTTTCCCGTAGAGGATGACCTGGTTTAAAGAAGCCATTTGTCTAACAGGTGGAGGAAACAGGATGTGAAGGGTACTTTTGTGCTTGTCAAAATGTTTTCTCATAGGAACACAGAAATGGTGCATCTATCAGCTCCACTCCACTGCCTCAGGCGCTGACCTGTACTCTGCGCTTCAAAAATGTCACAGTTATAACCAACTGCGAAAAGAATGAGGCCACGGGGGGAGATTACATTGGAATTCAACTTTTGCCTTGTTTTGTCCCATTATGAAACTTACATGCTCATGTTCAGGGCATCCTTGTTAAGCATAAGCATGGAGGTATTTAAAGAAAGTCTGTTACTTGACAATGACAGCCTTGTTGTTTAGGTGTTTTTACATCATTATACACCTTATTTGAACACACTGGCTTTCATTTCCATGTGGATTTTATCCTGTGCTATTTCAGTCATCAGCGAAATCATGAATGCATAAATGAGGTGGATTACTGCCTCAGAGCTGATCATATTATTAAATAGTGCATTGATGAGCTCTTAGTCTTGCTGCACAAGCTACTAGAAACGGAAATACCTGATAACAATGTAAATATTTACTGTAATGAATGACATTTGTACAAACTGGTATTTTCTATTAAAGGCATAAATGGAAGAATATTTAACTATTAAAAAATTAAAAAGACAGAGCATTTTAAAAATTTGTTTTAAGTAATGAAATAGTGCTCTATATCAGATAGTTTCCCATGCATTGAGTTTAACAATAAAGGCGAAATAAATAAATCTGAGATTAATTTTCTAATTTCAAAAAATAATGATTTTTCTATTAACATTGCTTATTACCTTGAAGTCTATTCACTCCCCAAACCTGATCTTTAAGTAACACAGTTGAAGGTTTTAGGGACTTAAAAGTTCCATTGTCACTATATTTCTAAGTTTGCTGGGTCTGCAGAAATGTCCTCATTTTAGCCTGTCTCATCAAATTTATAAAGATGTGCTTGCCCTCACTCCTTAGCAAACACCCTCTTGCAGTCACAGATAAGGAAAAGGGATTTATTTCCAGCCCTTCACTTCTGAGTCTCCCCATCCACACCTTCACCATCTGAATGTGATCTTATCCCAGCCATGCCCCTTTAAATCAGAATTTCTAAATATTAACTGAGTGACAAATTATGTAAATGTTTTTCAAAAATATTGCTTTTATCTTTCCTTTATTTTTCACTGGGAGTCTATATTTTACCATTTCTATAATACTTAAGTCCTGCTAAATGTAGCTTAACTACACTGTGGATTCCTCTTCTGGATTTGGGGAGAATTAATCCAACTTCTTTTGAACTTAAGGTACATGTAATTCAATATATTTAAACAAAGGCAGCAATAATATCCTCACATTAATATTATAGGAATGGATTTCTAAAAACTATCAATGCCCAATGGTACTTGACTTCTTAAAAATGAATTATTTGCTTTGATATTATGTCTCATTCTATAGTTAAATTGTCTTTATAATTACCAAGCTCTAAAAATACTCTCTTTTTCTATTTCGCTATGTTAGTTTTGTTTAGCTATTCTTTGTTCCTTTCATAAGATACAGAATAGCAATTGGAACATTGTCATATAACTAGCATGATTTCAAAAAATATTTTTAAAACATATTTCAGTTAAAATAATACTCAGTTTTTATTTCTTCTGTTTTCAACATATTATACACTGTAAAATATATAATATATGTGGAACTCAATATCTTTTGGGGTGAAACTCTCAAGTTATCAATATATTTTTAAAGTCATTATATGCCTGAAGGGTATTTAGCAACACTTCCCTAAATTGAAATGTTTAAAACATATATTTAAGGGCAATTTGTATCAACTGACCCAGAGAGTTCATAATTTTCAGAGATTAGAGTTTATAAAATGAAAGCGTTAGTTCTCTGGGAGATAACTCAATTACTAAAGCTGGAATGAGTGAAGCCTGGCAACAGAGCCTCCCTAGTGGGTCTCATTCTGAACCCAGATACGCCTCTATCCTAGAAGCACAGAGAATCTTTACAGCTAATTGTAGTGATGGCATGGGATTTCCTAGTGAGAGGATTTCTGCACCCAGAGGCAACCTTTATTACCTAAGTACAGACATCCTTCACAGTCTTTATGTCATGAGATACTTTTTCATGTGTTAATAACATAAAACATTTCATAGGACACTACAGGATGTTTATTCCCCATCTTAAATATACATTAATACAAAATATCTTGGGGGTTTTTATATGTACATCTCTTATTGTGTGTGGCTTATTATACAAGTATATTGACTAAATTCCCATCTTATAAAACCAAAGGCATGAATACAACTTTCATTAGCTTCTTTCTTTTACCACCTGAATAATTTGCTTTTGTACCAAACTATGTATTCTTCATTTGCTATTCAAGATACTTGGTTTTTGAAGATCTGTTTCCTGATAAGTCTATGTTCTGGTAAACAAAGGAAGGTCAATGTAAATAAATATACATTCTACTCAGGATCTAGCCTCTTGCATAGATTTAAGTCTGAATGAAGTCTACATTACTTTTCATTTGGATCCAAATACAAAATTTTAGCACCTTGCTATTGAACAAATGCAATTACACCAGATGAAAGTCTGCATATGATATTGTAATATCAGACATCAAAAAGGAGTCAGCCTTTTCTATCTTATCAAATATATCCATTGGGGACATTCGAGTTTATTTGTATATATTTTCACATTTAAATGTCTCTGTGGATGAAAAAATTCCAAATGAATGCAAATACTAGCAAACAGATCTGGATAAATTAAGTGGTGGTGGTAATGTAGATAGAATCGAAATAGGCAAAAATAAATGTTTCTTGGCTGAAATCAGAGAATTCGAATGACTAACTCTCCAAAATATAAAGTGGGAAAACAAGAATCACTTCACTTTAAAGTTTAATGTAAATTAAACTATTTGGAGCACTATTTGGAGATTTTGTTGGGAAAAGTCTAAAAATGTTTTGGTAGACCTAGAGTTTTATTCTTGTGTTAGGGATATTTGGTTTGTAAACTACAGTAGTTTTTGTCCCCTTGTGCTCAAAAACTTGATATAGACAGCACTTTTTTTAATAATACATGTTCTCATTGATTCAGAGAGAGGAAGGGAGCAGGAGAAAGAGATAAAAACATCAATGGTGAAAAAGAATCATCAATGGGCTGCCTTCTGCATGTCCCCTACTGGAGATTGAGCTCACAACCTGGCCATGTACCTTGACCTTAAATTGAACCATGACCTCCTTCCTGGTTCATGGGTCAAGCTCAACCACTGAGCAACACCAGCCAGGCTAGACTGCACTTTTTGTATACATCTTATATATATGAATGGTTTGAATTAAAACTTTGAGGCATGAAATAGGGTTTAAAAAGTAATATAACAAGTCTCCTTATCCTATATAATAAAAGGGAAATATGCAAACTGACCCTAATGGCAGAACGACTGCTCAACCAGTCACTATGAGGCACACTGACCACCTCTCAGTCCCTTTCCCTGGCTGGCAGGCTCCCGTCACCTGATGGAAAAACAGGGAACCGTCTACGGCCATACCACCCTGAACGCGCCTAATCTCGTCTGATCTCTGAAAAACAGGGAATCAGGGATGGGTGGCGGTTGGGGGCGGGGGGGCAGGGCCGGCTGTGGGCAGCCTGGGAAGATGGTCCTGATCACAGGCCAGGCCTAGAGACCATACCCATGCATGAATTTCGTGTGCCCGGCCTCTAGTTTCTTAAAATTCAAGTACAGTATTAAAAGGTATTTTACAAAGCTAAAATTAAATCTTACTTGGTCCTTTTCAAATTTTCCATGAATGTGATACAAAACATGATTTTAAATGTTCAGCTCTCTTTATAACATTCTGAATTTAAAAATAATAAGTTGTTCTTTAAGCACTTGAATAGAATCATTATTCTGACAAGAAATAACAGCTTCTTCAAATAACACTTTTAAATGTCATTTCAATGGTTTTCTTAAATAGTTTTAAAAGGCTGTTTTCTAATTGTAAAATAATGGTATTACAGCAAATTGGAGTTAGAGGGCAATGGAAAAGTACTGAAAGTTTTCATCCTTATCTTGGTTCTGCCAACATTAGCCTGTCGTTGCTTCTTTCCTGTATTTAATTTTATTTTCGTTTCCTCCAGAGATCAAAAATAGCAGTGTATGAAAAGATGTGGACCTACATGCGATCAGCAGAGCCGTCTGTGTTCACGAGGACTACCGCGGAGGGCGTAGCTCGAGTCCGCAAGTCCAAGGGCAAATTTGCCTTTCTCCTGGAATCCACTATGAATGAGTACATCGAGCAGCGAAAGCCCTGTGACACGATGAAAGTGGGAGGAAATCTGGATTCGAAAGGCTATGGAGTAGCAACGCCCAAGGGTTCTTCATTAAGGTGGGTGGAATAGTATAACAATATAACATGTGTTGTTATAGTATTCCACCTTCCCTGATGTCCCTGAGAGAATTATTTTTGTTTTGTTTGTGAACATGGTATGTTTGTTTATCTGTTTTCTTTTCCTCCATTTCATATTTCTGATCAACAATCAGGTAATTTTTTTAAAAAATTTTAGAGTAATCATAGTTGACGCATATTTTTTTAAGGCCATATAAAAACCAAACTGGTTGAACACTAGCTGCTTCCAGTGGGCCTAAGACATGGGTAGCAAATGCTTATATTTCATCAACTTTTTTTGGCCACTAAAACCTACACTCTCATTGTGTCAGTAATAATTCTACATGTTATCATTTTTTTAAAATTATGCCTGCCTACTAATTTTTGAGTAAGAAGACGTCCACCTCTTTGTAGCAAACCACTTTTTTTCCATTTCAATGTTTCATTTATTATGACATCATTATATTTTAGATTATCCTAAGGTTGTATTGGTGCTAACTTTGTAATCAGATCTATTTATAAATGCAACCATGATCAGAAGGAAAACTGGGCTCTGATTTTATGGTGCTTACTCAAGTCATACTCTCACCTTTTTGCAAAGAGAGTGTGGTGTAAGTAAGATCTGTAAAATGAGGTCCAATGGCAATCCAAAACTGTTCACACATAAACCCCTAAAGTGTGATTCATGAGCAAAACATCACACGTGATCACACATGTAGATAACCCACATGTGTTAAAAGTGAGACCTTCATTCTTAAGGAAATGCTGGTGAAATCTGCCCTTTTCACCCTTTTGGTCCTGGACATAGAGAATGCACATGTTTATGTCCAGGAGGCAGAGTTTCCTATTTTCCTGACGGAATAAAGGCTGCTGTTGAATTGATGGGGCTAGAGCAAAGTTGGAGTCAAAGTGATGACTGACAAAGTACTCTGGTCTCAGTGCAGCTTAGGAGAGATTCGTGCAAAGCACAGATACAGATTCAAGAAGAAATCAGAATCTTTTCTAAAGGACTTAACCAAGAACCTGGTCTTGAAAAATGATGTCCCTGGTAAGCCTTTGAAAAATGAAGGTAATGAGACCTGTGCTATTGCCCAGCAGGGATGAACGCAACATAAAATATATGAGATTGTTTTCATTGGTTTCAAAGAGGGAACTGCAATGTGTTTTGGATATTTGTGTTGGGCGGAGGAGGATTTGAGACAAATATAAGAAACAAATGCTACTGCTGGAAAGGGTGTACTAAACCAATATTCTGTTTTTTGCAAGCTACACAGTCATGATTAGTGAGGGGCTTGATGGTATGTTCATAAGGGGCCATTTTAAAAGAAGGTAGGACAAAATCAGCCAGTGAAGATAAATTTGGATGTGGACTTTGGCAATTCTGAAGCCAGGTTTATGTGACCATCCCTCCAAATAGAACTAGAGAAATGTGCAGGGAGAAAGCCAAACAAATAAATTATCCATCACTGCCCCAAAGACTTCAACCATTCAGAAGCTTCAGCAGGCACCAAGGGGGTTGATCTTTGAGGGTGTGTTTTATATAATACGATGCGAAAATATGTAAATTCAATGAGGCCAAGTAGCAAATAAATTTTTATTTAAGTAGCAGTTATAAGAGCATCTTAGTGTAAGTAATTTAAAAGAAATGGAAGAGGAGAGAGCAATGGTGGTTCATATGTAGATCAGCGCTCAGACTATTGATTCCATTCACTGGGTGCTGCTTCGACGCTTAATTAATTCTCTGTGGATATAGCTGCCTTGTCCTCTGTCTTGTGTCTACTGATAAAGTCAAGTTCCAGGGACTGAATTTGGCCTTCAGATACGCATTGATGGCCTGATTCACATTGATGGCAAGGGTTCCCTCTTAAATGTGCCACTTTGTCAAATCCACACTACAGGGCTTGTTTGGGGAGAAGCTGAAGGGCTTCATCTGTCTAGAACTGTATAATAATCAGCTATTGGCTTCCTCCTCTTTTCCTGCCCTTCCCTGGATCTTGTTAATGAGGCCATTGTTAAGCTCCGCTTCCTGGATGGAGACTTTGTTTATGAGCTTTGTTTTATGCATGCCACAATTTCCTGAGCAAGCTGGCCCCTGCATGCCAAAACCACAGTCATTTTGTCCTGTCTTTGAGAACACTGGAAGGACACTGAAGGCTAATCCCCATTCACCTAACCCCCCACCTCCTCACTCCCCCACTCCCAGCGCAGCTAAGCAACAAGCTCATTAAGCTTAAATTCTCATTCTTATTTGACTATGATCCCTCAGTTATAAAAGTGCAAACTGATATAAAGATGGACTAAGAGGCACCTTCTGAATAAATGATTTAGTTTTCAGAAACAAATTTAAAATAATTGTGTCCATCAGAGCAAGATCCAGAGAGCATGCATACCTGCTTTAAGAGTGCCTTGAAACCTCTTTGCCTTATCTGCTCAGTACAGACTAAGTCTGTTTTCCTATAGGATCTACCTTCTTTAGCCAGGTCTTTAGGTTAATAGCTATGGATATCATAAGGCTTGTGTGTTTCCTTGTCATTAATTATGGTTTTCTCACAAGCTCTGCTGTTTTGATTCATTAGGCAACTTGAGACTTTAAGAAAAGGAAAACAGTAATTCATCCTTTATGTAAGCTTAATCGGAGAATAACTAGCAATCTTCTGTTGGTCCAGAGTGTTTTAAATGTCTAGACCTTACTGTTTAATCAAAATCCTTCAGAAAAGAGAAAAAGTGTGCTATAAAATCAGGAAAGAACATCAGGACTTGGGTTTTAATGTAGACTTTAAAACAAATGCAATCAGGATCATCACAGAGAGCATATCTGTGAGTGTTAAAAATATTACAATAGTGATGACCAGCACCCACTTTATGACAGATAATAATATACAGAGTTCTTTATTTTCCAAAGATACTTTATTTCAGACTAGTGATTGCTGGGCATACACGATAAAATGTTAAATGATTGAGTTATCATAGTTCTCAGTTCCAGAAGGTCAATAACTATGCTCAGAAATTACTGTTTTATTGAACTTTGACATAGGTTCGCTAATTTTTAGGTGATAAAATGATGCCAGGTATATCGATGCAGTTAAACTTAGCATCTATAGATTCCCATAGAAAAAAAAAGGAGATAATTACAAGTAAATGTACCTATAAGCTATAAATATCAAGGAGTGAAAGAACTTAGATCTTACTGTCTTTGTTATTTATTTTTCAAGTTACCTTCTAAAAACTTTTTTCAGGTCTTGAGGTACAAAAAAGAGTAAATCTCTTCTTTTATATTATCTCTCAACTATCTCCATGCCTTGGTATTTCTCTTGAATCTTCTTTCCACATGCACAGTGTAATTTATACGCCTGTCAATGCCATGGCCTTTCTTCCCATCCCTTCTTCAATACCCTAGGCACTCCAAAACACTTGTGAAAACCTTTCTCACTCTGAGAAATGTTGAAAGGTTGGTATTGCAATGGAATGTAAAGTTTAGATAAAAGAGGGAGTATGTTTATTTTGACTTTACTATAAATTTTGCTATGGTACAAATATCTACCGTACTATAGTACTTATTGCATAGTAAATTTTTATATTTTACTATCAAAATACTCTCTTTACTATCTTATCTATATTGTAATACATACTATGCTCTTGACTTTACTATGCAATAAACAACACTGATGAAGGTTGTTTGGAGTGAATCATAATTTAGTTAATGCCGATTCACTGACTATTAAGTAGTTGTTAGATGAGAATACCCCATTTAAAGATATGCGTGGTATCTAGTATCTGCAAGTTCCTCCAGGGGTCAAAGCATGAATCATATATGAGACTTCCCCTGAAGTTTTGTAGGGTTTTGTATACTTGAACCTAATAACTGAAGCCAAGTTTTAAAAAACTAGTCTCCTACAATTTCTGTTCAAATTTTGCCTTCTCTAAAGATTTTTGTGGGACTGTGTCTAAAATAAGACAAATGTTCTATCACACACCCCTCTAAAAAAATGGTGTTTCAAAAAGAAAACAATTCCAAAAAAACTCGATCAGTAATTGGTCTGGAAAAAAATGAAGTCCATGGGACTTGCTGATGCCCAGCAGCAGGAACCCAAGGCAATGTGAGCTGTCTCTTTGAAACCAGACACATCACCCTTAGTTTACAAGAAGCAAATCAGGGCCCCAAAGTAATAGGGTAGCAGGAGGAAGAAGTACTAAGAATGAGAATTAAAATAGCACAGCTTTCATTGGACTCTTTCTTTCAGTGCTTAACACAATCCCTGCCCTCATAGGACCCTTGGCCCGCATCTAGATCTGCATCAGGGCAAGTAGAGTTCTCTGTAGGAGTTGGACTTTGAAGGAGTTGTTAGGACAGGTGTATTAAACTTAATATTCAAATTTATGCATGAAAAATATATTATCCCTAAGGAACCACTTTCCCATGAGACATATTTAGTCATCAGTTCAGGTATACTTGGAAGGTTTAGAAAAAGTGTTTCTCTGGATGTAGTATGCAAGAATAAAACTGTAGTATTTTGGGGGCATAACAAGTCAACTATTGATACTTAATGTAGACACTACAAAAACATAAAATTACATATTTTTAAGCTGAGTACTTAATATTACTGAGCAGCACTTGTCCTCAAAGTGAATAAACTTCTAATTTGTTTTCTGAAAATGAGTTGCAGGTGATTTGTACACAATTTTTTAAAACTATTATAGAAAGAGATATGTTTTTGCTTGTGAAAATACTTCATTTTTCTTGGTTCCATATTAAAATGTGCTACAGATAACCTAATGTTTTATTTAATCCCAATATGTTCTGGAATGTAGTCTATTGGGCTAGGGAATTAGAAAACACACACACACACACACACACAAATTAATTGTACCTTTCAGCATACACCCACAAAAATACACACAATCCCTGGTTGTGACATGCTTCAACACTTTCCCAGTTTGCTATTACAGATGCGATGTTTTTTTGTATGAAGCAAGTATTTTGCATTCACAAACTGAGGTTC